TTGGGAAGGCCACACTTGGAATACTGCATCCAGTTTTGGTCACCACAATGTAAAAAAGATGTTGAGACTCTAGAAAGAGTGCAGAGAAGAGCAACAAAATGATCAGGAGACTGGAGGCTAAAGCATATAAGGAACAGTTGCTGGAATTGGGGATGTCTAGTTTAATGAAGAGAAGGACAAGGGGGTGACAGGATAGCAGTCTCCAGTATCTCAGGGGTTGCCACAAAGAAGAGGGAGTCAAGCTATTTTCCAAGGCGCCTGAAGGCAGGACAAGAAGCAACGGATGGAAACTAATCAAGGAGAGAAGCAACCTAGAACTAAGGAGAAACTTCCTGACAGTTAGAACAATTAACCAGTGGAACGACCTGCCTCCAGAAACTGTGAATGCTCCAACACTGGAAGTTTTTAAGAAGAGACTGGACAGCCATTTGTCTGAAATGGTATAGGGTTTCCTCCCTGAGCAGGGGGCTGGACTAGATGACTTCCAAGGTCCCTTCCAACTTTATTATTATTATTATTATTATTATTATTGAGATACTTTGTCCTGAGTAGAGATTGTAGAACAGAGATGCCACCTCTGCGTGTTTGGAAGGAAGGAGGAATATAATTGGGCTCACACTCTGTCACCCCTTGATTGGATTACCGTAGTAAGCCCTACGTGGGGCTACCCTTGAAAACCATTTGGGAACTACAGCTGATTGCAATGCAAAGAACAGTCGGCGATGGGTGTGTCGTGGTGTGTGCATGTGTCCCTGTTGCTTTGTGAGTGCACTGGCTGCCACTTGACTTGATATTTCCACTTGGGTGCAATTCAAGGTGATGGTTCCAATCTCTGTAGCTTAGGGTTGAGCTGTGGGGTGCTTGATGCTCTCTGAACTTGGTGGTTTCCTTCCAAACAGTTCATTAGCCAACTAGGTAACATCATCAGTGCTAGATGGTACTGGTTATCATCTATAAAGCACTGCATGGCACAAGCTTAGTTGTTTGATGGACCACCTATCTCCAGATGTTTCCGTCTCTCCAGTTAGGTCAGCTGTAGTGAGCTCTGGATCCTATCTATTAAGCAGTGTCATCTTCCAGGGCTCGGGAAGTGGGCCTTTTCCCCACGATCACATGATAAGCATTCAGATGCTTGGCAACTGGTTAGCATTTATGGTGGTTGCAGTGTCTCTGGGGTCATGTGACAAGCAAAGTCAGAAGGACCAGGGGGGATGTGATAAAAGCCTTCCAATATCTCAGGGGCTGCCACAAAGAAGAGGGAGTCAAGCTATTCTCCAAAGCGCCTGAAGGCAGGACAAAAAGCAACGGGTGGAAACTAATCAAGGAGAGAAGCAACCTAGAACTAAGAAGAAACTTCCTGACAGTTAGAACAATTAACCAGTGGAACAACCTGCCTCCAGAAGCGGTGAATGCTCCAACACTGGAAGTTTTTAAGTAGAGACTGGATAATCATTTGTCCAAAATGGTATAGGGTTTCCTGCCTGAGCAGGGGTTGCACTAGATGACCTCCAAGGTCCCTTCCAACATCATCATCCTCATCCTCATCCTCATCCTCCTCATTATTATTATTATTATTATTATTATTAAAGTCAATGGAGAAGCCAGATTCACTTAACAACCTTAGCCTTAACTAAGCAACTGCAGTGATCCACTTAACAACTGTGGCAAGAAAGTTCGTAAAGTGGGACAAAACTCACTTAACAAATGTCTCGCTTTAACAGCAGAAATGTTGGTCTCAATTGTGGTTGTAAGTCAAGGACTACCTGTACAAAAATACAATGGAACTCCCGAAAGCAGGTGTTTCCAACCTTTAGCAACTTTCAGACTTGTGGACTTCAACTCCCAGAATTCCCCAACCAGAATGAACCAAGGCTGGACACCCCTGGCTTAAAAGTTAAGAGAAACTTATCACAGCAGAGTTAACATAGTCTTGCAGCTGCACTTCCTATAATCAGTTGCCAGGTAAAGCTTTTATCCTCTTCTGTAATTAAAATTGAAACTTCTGTGGCATATGGAAGCATTTTTTTACTTATTAATGTATTGAGTTTCTATAACCAGTTGTCTCCATACAATTCCCAAAGTACAAAACAAAAATAATAAAAATCATTTTAAAAACAATAAAAAATTCTACTTGCAACCAACTTGGAAGAGCTAGACTAGATCCGAGCAAAGGTCCACTTCATACAGCTTGCCCAACAACAGAGTAACAGAACTGGAAGGGACTTTGGAGGTCTTCTAGTCCAACCCCCCTACTTAAGCAGGAGACCCTATATGATTCCAGACAAATGGCTGTCCAATCTTTTCTCAAAAATGTCCAGTGATGGAGCACCCACAACTTTTGGAGGCAAGGCATTCATGATTGATTGTGTGCCATCAAGTCATTGTCACCTCTCAATGCCCATATAAATAGATCTTTTGCATGATGATCAATCCCTAACTTGTCCTTATAGGTCTTCCAATCCTGCATTCATCACTGCTGTATTTGTGTCCATCCACCTCACTGCTGGCCATCCTCTTCTTCTCTTTCCTCCCACCTTTCTCAAGTTGAGTCTTTGTATCAGGTGTCCCAAGTAGGATCATTTGAGCTTGGCCATTGGGGCATCAAGTGGATTGATTGACCTGGTAATCTATTGGTTTGCTTTTTTAGCTGGCCCCAGTATTTTCAGGAATCTTTTCCAACCCCAGCATTCAAAGGTGTTTTAGTATTCTTCTATCCTGCTTCTTCAACAGTGCTCCTGAAGTACAGGTAGTCCTCAACTTACCATCAGACTACCAGAAAGGCACACTCAGACTCAGGTCAAAGTTCATGCCACAGGAACAACTCCAAACAAAAGGCTCCAGAGGGTATAAAAACCCACTCCCTACATGTGCTCACTCTCTTTTCTTCCAGAGCCATCTTTCTGTCTGGCTCTCCTCTTCAATAAACTGCAACCTTTTTTCTAAAGCAGTCGCCATGTTGTTTATTCTCAGCTTGGACTGAACCATGATGAAGACTTTTCCTTCAACACGAGCAATTCTTTTAATATTGGGTTCATCTATGGCAGTGGTTCTCAACCTGTGGGTCAGGACCCCATTTGGGGTCGAACGACCATTTCACGGGGGTCGCCAAACAACGCAGTCTCTTGAATAGAGTCTAATTCTATTGGCTTTCAAAAGCCAATAGGAATTGTCCAGGCTGTCTCTGCCCTGCTGAGCCCACCAAAAGTCCCATTCTGCAAACGGTGCTGCACCAGTTGAGTAGTCCTCGACTTATGACCGGTTGAGTAGTCCTCGACTTACGACCGGTTGGGGGTCGCGGCATTAAAAAGGTTGAGAACCACTGATCTATGGCCTGTTATCAGAAAAGCCCATTTAAGTCACTACAAGCAGTCCTTGATTTACGACCACGATTGGCACTAGAATTTCTGTTGCTAAGCAAAGCATTAGTTATGTGAGTCGCGCCTGATTTTACAACCTTTTTTGGCCAAGGTGAAGCAAATCACTGCAGTTGTTAAGTGAATCATGCAGTTGTTAAACAAATTCAGATTCCCCCCCCCCCCTTGACTTTGCTTGTCAGAAACTGGCCGGGAGGGTTGCAAAAGGCAGAGTGCTGTAACCCTCGTAAATACATCCCAATTGCCAAATGCCCGAATTTTGTCCATATGACTGTGAGGATGCTGTGACGCTTATAGGTTTCAGTTGTGTTATATAGGTAAGTCCTCGATTTATAACAGTTCATTTAGTGACCGTTCAGAGTTACAACGGCACTGAAAAAAGTTACTTATGACCAATTTTCACACTTAACGACCATTGCAGCCATCCCCGTGGTCACGTGATCAAAATTCAAACACTTTTGGCGACTGAGTCATATTTCTGACGGTTTCGGTGTCCCGGGATCACGTGATCATCTTTTGCGATCTTCTGACAAGCAAAGTCAACGGGGGAAGCCAGGGTCACTTAACAAGCGTTTGACTAATTTGACAACTGCAGTGATTCGCTTAACAAGAATGTGGCAAGAAAGGTCGTAATGTGGGGCAAACTCATTTAACAAATCTTTCACTTAGCAACAGAAATTTTGGGCCTGATTGTGGTCATACTACCCGTCATTTCAAATGTTCGGTAAATGAATTGTTGTAAGTTGAGTATTACCCTGTGGGGTCCTCATTATATTTTTACTCACTTGATTTGCTCCTCTGTGAACCCTTTATAGCTGAAACCCTGTAAGGCAGTGGTTCTCAACCTGTGGGTCGGGACCCCATTTGGGGTCGAGCGACCATTTCACGGGGGTCGCCAAACAAGGCTGTCCGCCATTTTTTCCCCCTTTTCTTTGGCCACGCCCCTGGCACCCGGTGATGTATAAGTGGTTGGGGGTCACCACAACATGGGGAACTATATTATGGGGTCGCGGCATTAGAAAGGTTGAGAACCACTGCTGTAAGGGGTTGTTTCCTTTCCCTTCCTACTTAATTTTTCATCTGTTTAACCATCCTGAGCTATAAAAGAAAGCCCTCAGAGATGTGGGGGAAGGGAAGCCAAATAATCATAGAGTCATAGGGCTGGAAGGGACCTTGGAGGTCTGCTAATCTAACCACCTGCTTAGTCAGAAATCTTTATACTATACTGGTCAAATGGTTGTCAAATCTTCTTGAAAATCCACAACTCTGGGAGGCAAGCTGTTCCATTGATTAATGGTTGTTGCTGTCAGGAAATTCCTCCTTATTTCTAGGTTGGATGTGTCTTGAAGAGCTTCCACCCATTGCTTCCTGTCCTGCCCTCTGGTCTTTTTGGTGAACATGTCAATCCCCTCTTCTTTGTGACCAGTATGGGAAGCAGTTATCCTGTCTCCCCTGGGTCTTCTCTTCAGTATGTTTAGCCCAGGGGTCTTCAAACTGGCTGAGGAATTCTGGGAGTTGAAGTCCACAAGTCTTAAAGTTGCCAAGCTGGAAGAGCTGTGGGCTAAACATATCTAGTTCCCTTAGCCATTCACCATATGATGTCTCCTATCTTCTTTTCTTCTCCAGGCAATGGAAGAGCTGAAGATGTCTGGATCCATTGCGTCCTATGACCAACTGGTGAAGCAGGTGGAGGCGTTGAAGAAAGAGAACACACACCTCCGTCAGGAGTTGGAAGACAACTCCAACCATCTCTCCAAGCTAGAAAATGAGACTTCTGATATGAAGGTGCGGATCTGTCTTTACCAGCACTGATCCAGTGTTTTTTTGTTTGTTTGTTTTCTAGTTGTGGAAATGTTGCTTTTCTATAGGACAGGTAGTCCTTGACTTACGACTACAGTTGAACCCAAAATTGATGTTGCTAAGTGAAACAGTTCTTAAGTGAGTCTTGCCCCATTTTACGACTTTTCTTGCAAAAAGTGAATTGTTGCAATTGTTAAGTTAGTAACGCAGTTGTTAAGTGAATCTGGCTTCCCCATTGACTTTGCTTGTCAGAAGTCTGTAAAAGGGGATCACATGACCCTGGGATACAGCAACGGTCATAAGTATGAACTAGTTGCCAAGCATCTGAATATTGATCACAGGATCATGTGGATGCTGCAAAGGTTGTAACTGTGAAAAAGAGGTCATAAGTCACTTTTTTCAGTGCCGTTGTAACTTTGAATGGCATAAACAAACTGTTGTAATTTGAGGACTACCTGTATTTATTTCTGATCATCTTGATCTCTCTCCAAATTCTGTTAAGCATCCTTTCCAAAATTAACACTTTACACCAGGGGTCTTCAAATGTGGCCCTTTTATGACTTGTGGACTTCAACTCCCAGAATTCCTCAGCCAGACATGCTGGCTGAGGAATTCTGGGAGTTGAAGTCCACAAGTCATAAAAGGGCCAAGTTTGAAGACCCCTGATTTACACTTTTGAGTATCTTAGTCAGGGGAGATCCTGAGGCTGGGATTTGTAGCCCCTGAGTCAAGGATATCTGATGTAACAGTTGAATTGCAGAGTGGATGGGTCTTGCCCCTTGCTACACAAATATACCTGGACACATTGTGAGCACAATCTGTGTGAACTTTTATGACTGCTACTTAGAAATATCCATTATTGCTGTGGTTGGTTGCACAGTCAGCCAGATGTTCAGAGTGGTTTTGGCATTTTTATCCACCCATTGAGTCCTTCCCCAGGGTTAGGATAGTGACAGATGTTGTTTGTTGATGTTATAAGTATCATCACAGGATGTAAGCTCTTCCAAGTATTATTGTTGTTACTGTTATTACTATTAATCAATTTAATATAGCAAGACATTCCATGAGATATATTTGCTATTTATTTGGATATGTTTAATTGACCAAGCTTTAGGTGAGTTTTGTCTGTGTTTTGATGCTTGATTTCTTTCCATATGAGAGAGACAAAGCAATATTCCCATTCTTCCTTTCTTGGCTGATCTTCAGCTTGAGAGTTTCCTAATTAGAGTTTACGACCATATTTCGCGGTTGGTTTAGTTATCTTAATTCATCATATTTTCTGCTATTGGATCGTTTGGCTTTAAACACAAACGTGAAAGGCTAGAGTGGCTGCTAAATGAGGTTGCTCTAGCCACAAAGTCTTTGTTGCTCCAATGACCCATTCGCATGCATCCCTGGTAGGGGATACTCTCTCCCGCCTCCCTCCCCCCCTCTCTCTCTCTTTCCCCCTCCCCCTCCCCCTCTCTCCCTCCGTGTGTGTGTGTGTGTGTGTGTGTGTGTGTGTGTGTGTGTGTGTGTGTGTGCTTGTGGGGAAATGCAGTTATTTTAACACAAGTATAAAATGATTTAGAAAATGAAGTTTGAAACTCTCAATGGGAAATGTTGCCTCTGGTCTCAAAAGCGTATACATTTAATGCATAGCTGACAATGGCATCTCTGAAAAGAATTCTGGGAGTTGAAGTCCACAGGCAGGCCAATGGACAACCTTCTATTCTAACCACTGCTACCATCTCTTGAAACACTGATGATAAGTATGGATATTACCACAAAATACAATGAGTTTTTTTTTCCTCCCAATTACCCAATAGTTATTTTAATGACAAAGATGTGGGTAGAACGCTCTAAGCCAGCGGTTCTCAACCTATGGGTCGCGACCCCATTTGGGGTCGATCGACCATTTTATGGGGGTCGCCAAACAATGCGATCCGCCATTTTCCCCCCTCAGGGGGCGGCGCCGCGCATGCACACCGCGCATGCGCGGCACGTTTGTGTGATGGGGGTCGCCGTCACACAAACGTTGAGAAACGCTGCTCTAAGCAGCTTGTGTAGATTTATTAAAGAATAAATCTCAGCAACCAAGAAGCCTACGATTTAAGAAGATCTGTGGAATACAGAAATGTTCTTTCTCCAGGAGAAAAAAAAGAACCCAACAACTAATCCATTTTACTTTATTATTTATCTGCAAAAGCTGTAATGACAACATCGCTATTACAATTTGATGGCAGAATCTTTATGAGGAAAAATCTGCTGCTTTTCCTGATTCTACTGCATTTTCTTAGTAAAACTAAGGCTACACAGACTATACCAGGGGTAGGCAACCTTGGCTCTTTTATGACTCATGGACTTCAACTCCCAGAATTCCTGAGCCAGCCATGCTGAGGGGAAAGGGAGAGGTTTCCAAGCTGAGCCAGGCTAGCTCAGGAATTCTGGGAGTTGAAGTCCACCAGTCATAAAAGAGCCAAGGTTGTCTACCCTTATCCTAGGCTAGGACAAAGATTAAGAGCAGGTGTCTTCAAACTTGCCCCTTTTATGACTGGTGGACTTCAACTCCCAGAATTCTTGGGCCAGCCATGCTGAGGGGAAAGGGAGAGGCTTCCAAGCTGAGCCATGCTGGCTCAGGAATTCTGGGAGTTGAAGTCCACGAGTCATAAAAGAGCCAAGGTTGCCTACCCCTGGACTATATCTACACTGCATATTAATATACTGTATATAAAATATGTACAGGTAGACCTCTATTTATGACTGTAATAGAGCCTGCCCATTACGATCATTAGTTGTGATGGTGGCAAAGCAAGTCACTATGTGACTAGACTCTTTCTTATGACCCTTTTTTTGCAGCATTCTTTAAGTGAATGTGGTGATTATAAAGTGAACGCCATGGTCATAAAGCAAATATCATGGTCGTTAAAACAAACCCATTGTTTGCTATGGGCCCTATTTATTTACTTATTTGTATCCCACTTTATTATTTTTACAAATAATTCAAGATGGTGAACATATCCAACACACTTTGCTCTTATTTTCTCCACAACAAACCTGTGAGGTGGGTTAGGCTGAGAGAGAGGGTCTGCCCAAAGTCACCCAGCTGGCTTTCATGCCTAAAGAAGGACTAGAACTCACTGTCTCCTGGTGATTGGCCCAAAGTCACCCAGCCGGCTTTCATGGCTAAACAGGGACTCGAACATGACTGCATTTCACGGTAACTTATGTCCAGTTTTTGGCAAAAAAAATGTCCGTAGCTAACTTAGTTCACTTAATGACCATGGCACTTACTTTACGACAATTGCAAAAAGGTCATAAAATGGATCAATCATGTGGCCAACCTCTTTAATGATCATTACAATTTACAACCATGATGGGCAAGCTACATCAGGGGTCTTCAACCTTGGCAACTTTGTGGACTTCAACTCCCAGAATTCTGGGAGTTGAATCCCACAAGTCTTAAAGTTGCCAAGGTTGAGGACCCCTGAGCTACATTACGGTCATAAGTCAAGGACTACATGTAATCTATTCTATTTAATCAGCAAAACCAAAAATCACAAGTTCATTTTTATGCAAAAAGTCCAAAAGAAGCTTCCAGTCACCAATAAATGTAGATCAGCAGTCCCCAACCTTTGTGACTTGGCAATCTGGCTGGTGGGGAGAAGAGGGAAATGGGTGTGTGCAAGTGGCAGGCCAGTGTGAACGTTTGCGCAGCTCGACTTGCATGAGCGGCGGGCCAGTGCATATGTACCGCAAGCTGCATGACATGCATGTCTGCTGGCCCATCGCTCCTTCTGCCCGGTTGTGGTGAGCCACAGCCCAGGTGTTGGGGATCTCCTATGTAAATAATATCTCGAATCCAAGAAGTAAATTCATCCTTTTTCAGCAAAACGTGCCAACAAAATTTGCCAATCCTTCTGCCATAGCGGGTAGTGTCAAATCTTTCCATCTATGTACATATAGTAATAATAATAATAATAATAATAATAATGATGATGTTGGAAGGTACCTTGGAGGTCATCTAGTCCAACCCCCCCTGCTCAGGCAGGAAACCTTATATCAGTGATGGCGAACCTTTTAGAGACCGAGTGCCCAAACTGCAACCCAAAACCCACTTATGCATCATTGGGTGCCGGGTGAGTGTGGCCCATTGGGTGGGCGTGGCTGCGGTGGTAACGGCAGACTGGGTGGGACTAAAAAGTTCAATCAATCAATTCCAACTTTGCAAGTTCTTTTTTTTTCCCACAAGGTTGAAATTGATTTATTAATTGAACCTTTTTTTTTTTTTTTTGCACACGGCAGCAGAGGCCTAAAGTGAAAAGTTTTATAAAACCCAGCTGAAGGCCTAGGACTGGGGTGACGGCACGCGTGCCCACAGAGAGGGCTCTGAGTGCCGCCTCTGGCACCCGTGCCATAGGTTCGCCACCACTGCCTTATACTATTTCAGACAAATGGCTGTCCAGTCTCTTCTTAAAAACTTCCAGTGTTGGAGCATTCACCGCTTCTGGAGGCAGGTTGTTCCATTGGTTAATTGTTCTAACTGTCAGGAAGTTTCTCCTTAGTTCCAGGTTGCTTCTCTGCTTGATTAATTTCCATCCATTGCTTCTTGTCCTGCCTTCAGGCGCTTTGGAGAATAGCTTGATTCCCTTTTCTTTGTGGCAGCCCGATATACTGGAAGACTGCTATCATGTCCCCCCTCGTCCTTCTCCTCATTAAACTAGACATACCCAATTCCAGCAACCATTCCTTGTATGTTTTAGCCTCCAGTCCTCTAATCATCTTTGTTGCTCTTCTCTGTATTCTTTCCAGAGTCTCAACATATTTTTTACATTGTGGTGACCAAAATGCTTGATGCATTAATCATATATTGAAATAATCTCCCATAGCTTTTTTCTGTTTACCATTAATCCTAAAAGAAAAAGCTCTTATCTTCAACTGAATACAGGTAGTCCTCGACATACGAACACAATTGGGCCAAATTTTCTGTTGCTAAACAAGGTGTTAAGTGAATTTTGCCCCTTTTTACATCCTTTCTTGCCACAGTTGTTAAGTGAATCACTGCAATTGTTGTTAGTAATACAATTGTAAAGCAAATCTGACTTCCCCATTGACTTTGCTTGTCAGAAGGTCGCAAAAGGTAACCCTGCAATCTTCATGAATACAGTTACCAGGCATCCATTATCATTGGGGCACTGGGAACTATGTCAAAAACTTTGCTAAATACATCAAGAAACTGCAGCTTCCTGCAATAACTCCAGCAATGTTAAAAAAAACTGCACTACTCAGAACAGCTTATATTTTAAGGAGATACCTGGTTGACACCTAGGATGCTGGTAGCAACCCGTGACAACCATCAGCACCAGCCAATTTTGAGTGTTCAGTTGACTGAGGTTCATGTTTAATGAATAATAATAATAATGATGATGATGATGATGATGATGATGATGATGAAACGTGTAACAGTGGTACCCATTGTCATCGGGGCACTGGGAACTATGTCCAAAAACTTTGCAAAATACATCAAGAAACTGCAACTTCCTGCAATAACTCCAGCAATGTTACAAAAAACTGCGCTACTTGGAACATCTTATATTTTAAGGAGATACCTGGTTGATACCTAGGATGCTGGTAGCAACCCGTGTCAACCATCAGCGCCAGTCAGTTTGAATGTTTAGTTGACTGAGGTTCATGTCTAATGAATAAAAGATAATAATAATAGTAGTAGTAGTAGTAGTAATAATAATAATAATAATAATAATAATAATAATAGCAGGATGATGTTTTGCATAACATCTAGTCTTGAGGGAAAGATCTTCAAGGAATTCTTGCAATAAAAATAGACGTGTTAAGAATTATGCTTTGCTTTTCCTCAGTGAAATGTTTGGGGACACAAAAATTGGATTGTTTTGGGAATTTATTGTTATTATTATTAAAATTTATTGACCAGGCAGCTCCAATAAAATCTTGCTGATCAGTTATTGTCAGAAAGAGAATGGAAGATTAGCCAAACCTTTAGTATGGCCAAAATTCAATCTATATATGAAAACATTATACCAATGTTTCTCCACCTCAGAATTTTAAAGACGGGCAGACTTCAACTCCCAGAATTCCCCAGCCAGCATGGCTGGCTGGGGAATTCTGGGAGTTGAAGTCCAGCCATCTTAAAGTTGCTGAGGTGGAGAAACACTGCATTAGACCTTCCAGAAGTGACTGTCGGCCTGCCTTGATACAATCAATTGACTAATCAATCTATTAATTAATATTAATTAATTAATATTGTAAGCCAGGACACTGAATTTTGCAACTTGAGGCGTTTATTCTTTATTAGTAACAAGTCTTGCTCCTCAAGGAAAGCTGGGGTGTTACTTTTATTTAAGGGATAAGAAATATTTCCAAATATACTTCTATACTATGTCGGAACATACAAGCAATTTGTTGGGGATGGGTAACAAGTGGATAAGACCTGTTAGGATTATGCTACAGTGGCTCCCACCATATTTTGATTTAAATGAATAAAAACAGCTTAAAACAACCACCATATGCAATCATGCAGAGAACAGCATAATAGAGATTTTTGCCCACTTGTAAGGGATTATCTCATCACGAGAGTGAAAGCTGTACAGAGAATGAGGACAAAAAGCTCTCTGAGGTTTATTCAGATCACTTTCTTGTTCTCACTTTATTTTATTTTTAATTCTTCCTTCTTTCCCAGGTGGTTTTGAAGCATCTGCAGGGCAAACTGGAACAGGAGGCCAAAGTGATGGTGTCTTCAGGACAAATGGAGGTTTTAGACCAGTTAAAAGGTGAGTGAGAGGTTTATATCCTAAAGCAGGGGTCTTCAAACTCGGCTCTTTTATGACTTGTGGACTTCAACTCCCAGAATTCCTCAGCCAGACATGCTGGCTGAGGAATTCTTGGAGTTGAAGTCCACAAGTCATAAAAGGGCCAAGTTGAAGATCCCTGCTATAAATGATGATTTATGACTACAACTGTCATAAATATGAGCCACCGTTGCCCTGGGAAAACAGCAATGGTCATTAGGTGTGAAAACAGGTCGTAAACCACTTTTTTCAATGTTGTAACTTTCAATGGTTGCTAAATGAACGGCTGTAGGTCGAGGACTACCTGTTTCCTGGAGCTGGGAAAAAGGTGTCTGGTGGCCTAAGCCAGGGGTGTCAAACTGCCAGCCCGCAGGCCGGATGCATCATAGCGAAACCGCACCCACCCTATTGCCAGCAATGGCAAAAAAAGTCGCGATACGTCACGACACGTCACGTGACGTTGCAAGTTTGACACCCTGGCCTAAGCTGTCCTCATGGCGTCCTTTCATCGCCTTTCCCTGTTCCTTCAGCCCTGCAGATGGACATCTCCAGTTTGTACAACCTGAAATTCCGCCCTCCGGCCCTGCTTCCCGAGCCGGTCTACCAGGACCACAGTCCGGAGCAGAGCCTGTCCCATCCAGCCCCTCTCCAAAGGAAGGACAGCATGGGGGATCTGGGTCGGGCAACCATCCGTCTCTTGGAGGAGCTGGACAAGGAGAGGTGAAGTTGTTGAAACTCTTTGGGGGGGGGGACATGGATGAACATCCTGCTCATCTTCCTCTTCTGGATGGTTTCTTCATGAATTCAAGTGGAGCCCATCTTCCTTTTGAGGTGTGGCTAGGATCCAGCTGGATGCCATGTGTGGAGGAAAGGAACTTTCAGTTTCTTTTCAGTTTCAGTTTTTCTTGCTTCCCCCTCCCCCCCCCCTTTGGCAGAATTCATATTTGCTTGTGTCTGAAGTGATACAGACTCTTTTCTCCTCTTTTTCTTCCTTCCTTCCCCCTCTTCTTGTCTTCCAATGTGCAATTGTAAGCTATCTTTCCTTCCTCTCAGCCTCCATACGACTTTCCTTTCCTTTCCTTCTTTCCTTCTTTCCTTCCTTCCTTCCTTTCTTTTCCTTTCTTCTTTCCTTCCTCCCCTGCCTTTCCTTCCTTCCCTTTTTATTTCTCTGTCCTTCCTTCCTTTTGTTTTACTTCTCCTTTCCTTCCTTCTTTCCTTCCTTCATCCCCTTTTTATTTCTATCTCTCCTTCCTTCCTGTTTTACCTTTCCTTTTTTTCCTTCCTTGCTTTTTATTCCCTTCCTTTTTTCCCCTTCCTTCCTTTCCTTCCTTCCTTCCTTCCTTCCTTCTTTCCTTCCTCCCCCTCCTTTCCTTCCTTCCCTTTTTATTTCTCTCCTTCCTTCCTTCCTTCCTTCCTTCCTTCCTTCCTTCCTTCCTTCCTTCCTTCCCTTTTTATTTCTATCTCTCCTTCCTTCCTGTTTTACCTTTCCTTTTCTTCCTTCTTTGCTTTTTATTTCCTTCCCCTTTTCCCCTTCCTTCCTTCCTTCCTTCCTTCCTTCCTTCCTTCCTTCCTTCCTTCCTTCCTTCCTTCTCTGATTGCCGTCTTTCCTTCCCCTTAGGTGTTTTCTGTTGAGTGAGATTGAGAAGGAGGAAAAGGAGAAACTCTGGTATTACACTCAACTGCAAAGTCTCTCTAAGCGGCTGGATGACCTGCCCCACGTGGAGACGGTGAGTTTCCAGGCTGGATGGTGGCAGGACAGACTCAAGGACAAGGACAGGGACATTTTCCTAAGTGTGTCTCAGCTACATCTTCAACATCCCCTTACCTCACATTCAGGCCCTTAAATTTTGGGGAGGAGGAGAGACCAGGAAGGGAGTGACAAGCAGAGGGGGGGGCTCTCTTACCTACCTCTTTTCTGCCTCCCCCCCCCTCCCCAGTTCTCAATGCAGATGGACCTGATCCGTCAGCAGCTAGAATTTGAAGCCCAGCACATCCGGACACTCATGGAGGAGCGCTTCGGAACGACCGATGAAATGGTACAAAGAGCTCAGGTAAGGAGGAGGAGCAGCAGGAGCAGGAGGAGAAGAGGAGGAGGAGGAGGAGGAGGAGGAGGAGGGGTGCAGGAGGGGAAGAGGAGCAGCAGGAGGGGAAGCAGGAGGGGAAGAGGAGAAGGAGGGAAGGGGGAGCAGGAGAGGAAGAGGAGGGGAGGGGGAGCAGGAGGGGAAGAGGAGGAGCAGGAGAAGGGAAAGCAGGAGGGGAAAAGAAGGAGGGAAGGGGGAGCAGGAGGGGAAGAGGAGGAGCAGGAGGAGGGAAAGCAGGAGGGGAAGAGGAGAAGGAGGAAAGGGGGAGCAGGAGGGGAAGAGGAGGAGGGGAGGGGGAACAGGAGGGAAAGAGGAGGAGCAGGAAGGGAAACAGGTGTAGAGGAGAAGGAGGGAAGGAGGGAGGGGGGAAACAGGAGAGGAAGAGGAGGAGGGGAGGGGGAGCAGGAGGGGAAGAGGAGGAAGAGGGGGAGGGAGGGAGAGGAGGAGGAGGATGCTACATTTTTCATTTTAAAACTTGCAGATCCGAGCGTCTCGTTTGGAACAGATTGACAAAGAGCTGATGGAAGCTCAGGATAAAGTGCAGCCTTCGGAACAACCGGTAGGAAGCCAGCAATATGCCAGGCCAGTGTTTCCAACACTGGCAGCTTCAGATGTGTGGACTCCAACTCCCAGAACTCCCAGGGGCTGGCTGGGGAATTCTGGGAGTTGGCGTCCACGCAGCTGAAAGCTGACAAGGTTGAGAAACAATATTCTAGAGACTGGGTCAAAATTCAAGATGCTGTTGCATGATGGAAGCCTTGTCTCTTTTATGGGGATGAAAAAGGGATCAGGGCTTGACTGTGTGGTTGCAGCTGCCATCTTGATTTTTTTGACACACACACACACACACACACACACACACACACACACACACACCAAAAGTGGAAGAAGGATAAATTTCATCCAGTTTCTTCTGTACCTACACTAATAGCTGTTCTTTAGAGAGGGCAATTCCAGGAAAGAAAGAAAGAATTATATAATTATTGCATAATTATGCTTGTCTGTCTCAATTGCCTGAAATAAAATGGGCAGAAGGAGGAAAATGTAATTCCTTATTTTAGAACACTGCTAGCATTGTTTCTCTTCCTTTAAAGTACTTACTGAACTCCAGGTGGGTGTCTTTGGGCCATTCACTCTTTCACACAGGGAGGTGGCTATGCGGAAAGTATGAGGTAGGACTGTATTTGATGTGTGCTGCCTTGAGTTTTATTTCCATCTATCTACCTACCTACCTACCTACCTACCTACCTACCTACCTATCATCTATCTATCTACCTACCTACTTACCTACCTACCTACCTACCTATCTATCATCTATCTACGTACCTATCTATCTGATTTGTCATCTGTCATCTCTTTATATATATATATATGTCATATCTCTACAATCTCTAATCTGTCATCTATTTCTATATCTATCTATCTATCTATCTCTGTCATCTATATCTATCTATCTATCTATCTATCTATCTATCTATCTATCTATCTATCTATCTATCTATCATCTATCTACGTACCTATATATCTGATCTGTCATCTGTCATCTCTTTATATATATATATGTCATCTATCTGTCATATCTCTACAATCTCTAATCTGTCATCTATTTCTATCTATCTATCTATCTATCTATCTATCTATCTATCTATCTATCTATCTATCTATCTCTCTATCCAGTGCTTTTTTTGTAAAAAAAAAAAAAAAAAGTGCCGGAACTCACATGTCATACAACCCATCTTGCCTACTCTACAAGGTTCCATCCAAAAAAGGTGCCGGAACTCCATTCTGGGCGTTCTATGACAAAAAAAGCCCTCTATCTATCTATCTATCTATCTATCTATCTATCTATCTATCTATCTATCTATCTATCTATCTATCTATCTATCTAATCTGTCATCTGTCTATCTATCTATCTATCTATCTATCTATCTATCTATCTATCTACCTATCTATTTATCTATCTATCATCTAATCTGTCTGCTATCTAATCATCTATCTGTCATCTATCTGTTTCTATCTATCTATATCTATCTGTCTGTCATCTCTATATCTGTCATCTGTCATATCTCTAGCTTATCTGTCATCTATCTGTCGATCTCTTTCTCTCTATCTCTCTGTAATCTGTCATCTCTCCATCTAATCTGTCATCTCTATCTATCTATCTATATCTGTCATCTATATATCTCTAATATGTCATCTATCTGTCATCTATATATCTCTTTATCCATATCTGTCATCTATCTGTCATCTATATCTATCTATCTCATTTATCATCTATCATCTCTCTGTCTTTATCTCCCCATCTCTATTTAATTCGGGATAAAATTATTATGATTTTACTTTGATAAACCAATTTGTTTGGATTTTGGCCTGGCACGTCCTACAATCTCTGATGCTATGATGGTTAAACCATACTTTATGACTTCTTAGGATGTTTATAGCAAGTCATATGATTTATTGAAAAAAAAGCCCCGATTGGACAAGGCCAAAGCTTAATACACTGTATGACTCCGATCAGCAACGGAAAGCCTTTTGGGCTCAGTTATCCAAATTTTGGAAAATGCCCAACTTGATTCTGCTAATATGTCACACTCTCCACCACCAATCACAGAGAAACAATTCTATACATATTCAGTTAGTTTTAAAAATATACAGTCCAATCATATGTGCTGCTATATATTATATAAAGAAACATCAATTGTCCAGAGGCTGCGCAAGAGCATACCCCATTCTCATGCAGGCGCCATAGTCTCTGAAAATCATGCAAGAACAGGACATGATTTTGAAAATAGTTCTTCTTGGGTGTTGGTGATCTCTGGCATGTCACCCAAAATGTGAGGTGTCACCTTTGATATGTTTGCCATAGGTTCATCATCAATGATTTAGGATCAGGGGTAGGCAACTTTGGGTCTTTTACGACTCGTGGACTTCAACTCTCAGAATTCCTGAGCCAGCCATGCTGAGAGGAAAGGGAGAGGTTTCCAAGCTGAGCCATGCTGGCTCAGGAATTCTGGGAGTTGAAGTCCACGAGTCGTAAAAGAGCCAAGGTTGCCTACCCCTGAATTAGGTGGACAGGTGTGATTATTGTTACATCACTCATTAGCTATTCAGTGTCTCTTCTGGAGCCTGCACAGAACAACACAGTAGTCCTTGACTTACAACCATTCATTTAATGACCTTTCAAAGTTACAACAGTGAAAAAAGTGAGTTATGATTGTTTTTCACACTTATGTTGTAGCATTCCGAAGGTCTTGTGATCAAAATTCAAGTGGCTGACAACTGTCTCATATTTGTGACCACTGCATTATCCTGGGGATTGTGTGATCACCATTTGTGACCTTTCCAGCCGGCTTCCGACAAGCAAAATCAATGAGGGAAGCCAGATTCGCTTAATGACCGTAGGGTTCCCTTAACGACTGCATTATTTGCTTAACTGGGAAAAAAGCTCGTAAAATGAGGTGCAACTCGCTTAGCAATGGAGATTTTGGGCTCCATTGAGGTCGTATGTTGAGGACTATCTGTAATGCATGCTGTACTTTACAAAGGGTGTCCCCAATATGTTGGGTCAAATGGGGGGAGGGGAACAGAGATCCGAAACCAAATGATGAATTAAGGAGGGAGGCCAGACTGGAAGGGCCGGGGTGCCGCCTTGCATGAGAATCAGGTCAGATAATGAGAGGGCAATTCCAGATTTGTTCCCCCCCCTCCTTTGGCCCAGAGGCACTGGAGAGTGTGGGCTTTGTGTGCATTTCCTATACAGTAACAAAGAGGCAGTTGCCATGGAGATGAAAAATAGGCCAGCCGAAGGATGGAGAGCAGTTGGTGGCCATGCCAGGGCTGGGCAGCTGGGATCTGAGGCTGCTGGGGTGGGGGAGCCAAACAACTAGAGGACGATCCGGCTTGGGTCCAAAATTGGGCTGAGTCTGCTGTGAGATTTGTATGAAGAAGCGGTGGGGGGAGGGGGATGGAATGGAATGGAACCTCCTGCAAATAATAATAAAACGGTCATAAAATACAAAGGCCTGCAAACAGGCAAGCATGTGACTGTGACAAAGGAAATCAAAGATAGTACAGGTTGTCCTCAACTTACAACAGTTCATATAACAACAACAACAATAATAATAATAATAATAAAGTTGGAAGGGACCTTGGAGGTCATCTAGTTCAACCCCCTGCTCAGGCAGGAAATCCTATATCATTTCAGACAAATGGCTGTCCAGTCTCTTCTTCTTAAAAACATTCACAGGTTCTGGAGGCAGGTTGTTCCACTGGCTAATTGTTCTCACTGTCAGGAAGTTTCTCCTTAGTTCTAGGTTGCTTCTCTCTCTGATTATTTTCCATCCGTTGCTTCTCGTCCTGCCTTCAGGTGCTTTGGAGAATAGCTTGACTCCCTCTTTTCTGAGGCAGCCCCTAAGATATTGGAAAACTGCTATCATGTCCCCCCTTGTCCTTCTCTTCGTTAAACTAGACCTACCCAATTCCAACAACTGTTCCTTATATGTTTTAGCCTCCAGTCCCCTAATCATTTTTGTTGCTCTTCTCTGTACTCTTTCTAGAGTAGTACAACAGCACGGAAAAAAGCGACTTATGATAGTTTTTCACACTTACGACCATTGCAGCATCCTCACGGTCACGTGATCAAAATTCGGACACTTGGCAACTGGTTCATATTTATGACGGTTGCAATGTCCCCGGGAACACGTGATCCCCTTTTGCGACCTTCTGACAAGCAAAGTCAATGGGGAAAGCCAGATTCAACTGTGTTACTAACTTAACAACTGCAGTGCTTCATTTAACAACTGTGGAAAGAAAGATTGTAAAACTGGGCAAAATTCATTTAACAAATGTCTCACTTAGCAACAGAAATTTTGGGCTCCATGGTGATCGTAAGTTGAGCACCCCCTGTACTTATGACCTGGTTCCAAACTTCTGACGAACAAGTCACCTCCCTGTGGTCATGTGACTGCATTTCAGGTGCTCTGCAACCATCCCATATATACAGCTGATTGCAGCACCCCATGTTCACTTGACGGTGTTTGACAACATTTTTGCCCCAAACCGACATTTACTTTTGTTACTGGCCCATCGCAAGCAATGGCTTTGCTTAATGACCACAGCATTCACTTAATAACTATGGATTCATTTAATGACAATCATGTGTCACTTAATGACCATTGCAAAAAAAGGTCATAAAATCAGGTAAGCCATGTGGGTCAGGGGTCCCCAACCCCCGGTCCGTGAACCGGTACTGGGCTGTGGCATGCCAGCAACAGGTCCGTACAAACAAGCAAAGCCCAATCCACGAGATGCAGGCAGCACACAAAACCATGCACCCTCTGGTCTGCAGAAAAACCTCTCTCCACGGAACCAGTCCCTGGTGCCCAAAAGGATGGGGACCTCTGATGTGGGTGACCCACTTTATGACTGTCATGATTTATGACCACAATGGATAGGCCAGGGGTAGGCAACCTTGGCTCTTTTATGACTCGTGGACTTCAACTCCCAGAATTCCTGAGCCAGCATGGCTCAGCTTGGAAACCTCTCCCTTTTCCCTCAGCATGGTTGGCTCAGGAATTCTGGGAGTTGAAGTCCACCAGTCATAAAAGAGCCAAAGTTGCAAACCCCTGGGATAGGCTCTATTACAGTCATAAGTCGAAAACTACCTGCATGGGAGAAAGGCCGTCTCTTAAGTAACTAGGCCCTATACCAGGAATTATCCTTGCTATACAGGTAGAACTTGACTTGTGACTTCAACTGATCCCAAAATTTCCATTACTATGGAAGACAGTTGTTTAAGTGACTTTTGCACCATTTTAAGACCTTTCTTGCCACAGTTGTTAAGTGAATCACTGCAGTTGTTAAGTTAGTAACACAGTTATTAAGTAAATCCGGCTTCCCCATTAACTTTGCTTGTCAGAAGGTTGCAAAAGGAAATCACATGGCTCCGGAACACGGCAATCATCATAAAGACACGCCAGTTGCCAAGGCTCCAAATTTTGATCACGTGACTATGGGGATGCCACAGCGGTTCTTTAAGTGTGAAAATCTTTTTTCAGTGCTGGTGTAACTTCACAAATGTTTGTAAGTTGAGGACTTACAGGGTACCTGTACCCTTCCTAGAATCAGCTCTGGGTTGGAGGAATGGGCCTTTGTCAAAATGCCTCAGTTTCCCCCCCCCCCAGGAGTATAAACCCAGGCCCCTGATGCATAAGGCTCAGAGGATACTGCTAGCCAAATCTGGCCCTAGGTTCTGCCTCTGTTTTTACCTTTCCAATAAGCAACTGAGTCAGAAGATCATTTAAAAACTGTTCATTAGGGTACCCTGATAAAGAGGAATCTCCCTATGAAAAAGGAGAGAACCCATCTTTCACACCTTTTTATAGTTAACACCACGAAGAATATGTAAGAGGAAAGTTGATGGGACAGGATAAAAATCACCTCCCCTTGACATAGGAAATCAGCTACATGTAGTCAAACACATATTTGCATCCCATAATATCATACATGTTCATTAAAATGAGGTCTGACGTCAGAAGGGGCGTAAATCAGGGGTCTTCAAACTTGGCCCTTTTATGACTTGTGGACTTCAACTCCCAGAATTCCTCAGCCAGTCGTGCCTAGCTGAGGAATTCTGGGAGTTGAAGTCCACAAAGTCATAAAAGGGCCAAGTTTGAAGACACCTTGCGTAAAAAGGTTGTTTAGAGTTCATGGAAGAGATAAACCAGACCCTAATTCGTAGGTAACAAACTTTTTGTTATCTGGAGATAGTCTCCAGCTAGTTTATCTTTTCAGTTTAGGAATGTTCAAAGCTATTGCTACATTCCAGCCTGTAATGAACCTGGGAATCATTTTAAAAGAGAGAAAGTAACTCAAATTAAAATATAAAGTAATTATCTTAGTTAACAAGTTACACAATCCATATCATGTGCCCCTTGCCACTGATACGACAACTTCGTTCATATTTTTTAATCCGTCCTCTGCTTGAAACGTCAGAGCCTTATTCCAAAAATAGAAGCAGGGCGGAATCGGTTGCTGCAGGTTGAGTGAGGCACCACTTGACCCTCTTTCAGATGTCTGGAGAGAGAGAGAGGAGTCCCCTGAGGCCATCTAGTCCAGAGCTCCCCAACCCCCAGTCCGTGGACCAGCACCGGGCAGCGGCATGCTAAAAACCGGGTGTCAACGCTGCAAATATTGTATATTCTTGCTTTTGACAATATGCAGAATTGTCTGGTAAATATGGGGTTAATAAAGAGCAGAAGGGGCGTTGGGGGTAAAGCCCCGGGAAAGAAAGAGGAAGAAAACATTTGACCTTCACACTAACTGGATAGTGTGAGATATGACTGCTAATTTAGGGAGGGAACATGGTGATAATTTAACTGTTCAGAGGAAGAGAACTTAGATCCTAGCATCCCTCCATTGTGCCTGTGCTGACATTTTGTAACAATAAAAGACTTTTAGGAAAATAAATGCCTGGAAGTTCTTTGGGATGTTTCATTAGCCGGAACCACAACACCGGGCTGCGCAAATAAGCAGCATATGAAACCACGCCCCCTCCGGTCTGTGGAAAAAGCTCTTTCCATGGAACTAGTCCCTGGTGCCCAAAAGGTTGGAGGGCTGCTGATCTAGCTCAACCCTTGCTAAGTTGAGGAATCCAACTGCAAGCATCAAGTAAATAAATTAAGCTTGATTAAGCCACCCATGTAGAGGAGCTCACAATCTCCCTCATTAAGTAGCTCCCTGACTGAATGGCTCTTACTAAGATGGATATGTTCTTTTCCCATTAGCATTTAAGAAATAATAGCTATGCATATCTCATTTTGGGATGCCTGCAATTGTGATAAATACTTGGACATCTGCTGGGGTGTATGGGCCAAAGAGTCACTACGTGCTGCATGCACAACATAAAATAACAAACAGGGCTTCAATTCGCCATCTTAACTTTTTTGACACTCCCCACCCCCACCCCAGGAAGCATTCCCTCCATTAATTCACCCAAATCATTCATTAATTATATTAAGAGAGGGGTGAAGACATCAAGTTAGAAACTGGGTGACTATGAGTTCTAGTCCTGGCTGAGGCACAAAAGCCAGCTGAGTGACTTTGGGCCAATCACAACAAGACTGGGTATTTTAGTCCCACCTTAGGTATGAAAGCCAGCTGAATGACTTTGGGCCAATCACCAGGAGACTGTGAGTTCTAGTCCCACCTGAGACACAAAAGCTGGTTGGATAACTTTGGGCCAATCATCAGGAGGCTAAGAGTTCTAGTCCTGCCTTAGGCATGAAAGACAGCTGGGTGACTTTGGGCCAATCACTCTCTCTCAGCCCAACTCACCTCACAGGATTGTTTTGTGGAGGAAACAGGAGGAAGAAGAAATATTATGTATATTACCCTCCCAGGAAACAGTCTAAAACTCTCTTGATTTGCCAAACCAAGATTAAGACCTGGCTGCACGAACGAAAATGGGCTCCGCAGATCCTGGCAGGCAGACTTCAGCTGGGTGCAAGGATGCAACTTTTATTAAACGTTTCTCTGTGTTTCCCATCTGCCCAACTCTTATCTTCCAGCCCTCTGGAAAACTGCCATGCACAGAAGGGGATGGAAGGCTCAACATCACAACAGACTCAGAGGAAGGGAAAGGGCAGCTGGGCAGCAGTAAGGTACAGTACTGTGTTTCTGTGGTCAAAAGAGTCAAGATGTTTTTTATGGACATATGCATAATAACCATGGCCTGCAAACAGCCCTCTATTGTTCTAAGCCACACACACATGGTTTTAATAACAGAGTTGGAAGGGACCTTGGAGGTCATCTAGTCCAGCCCCCTCCTCAAGCCGGAAACCCTACACCCATGGTGGCACACAAAGCCCTCTCTGTGGGCACGCGCGCCGTCGCCCCAGTCCTAGGCCTTCAGCTGGGTTTTATAAAACCTTTTCGCTTTAGGCCTCTGCCGCCGTGTGGAAAAAAAATGGTTCAATCAATCAATTTCAACTTCTCATGGGAAAAAAAAAAGATCTTGCAAAGTTGGAATTGATTGAACTTTTTAGTCCCACCCAGTCTGCCGTTACCACCAAAGTCATGCCCACTCAATTGGCCACACCCACCCAACTGGCCACGCCTACCTGGCACCCAATGATACATAAGTGGGTTTTAGGTTGCAGTTTGGGTACTCGGTCTCTAAAAGATTCGCCATCACTTCCCTACACCTTTTCAGACAAATGGTTGTCCAATCCTTAAAAACTTCCAGTGTTGGAGCACCTACAACTTCTGGAGGCAGGTAGTTCCACTGATTAATTGTTCTCACTGACAGGAAATTTCTCCTAAATTCTAGGTTGTTTCTCTCCTTGATTAGCTTCCATCTATTGCTTCTTGTTCTTCCTTCAGGTGCTTTGGAGACTATTCCTTATGGCAACCCTTTAGATATTGGAACATGGCTATCATGTCACCCCTGGTCCTTCTTTTCATTAAACTAGACATACCCTAGACATATTTGCATTGTGGGAAAATAAATGTGTGCAAAGTGTGATCAAATGCAGTGCAGCCTCCATGCAAACTATTATTGATTGATTCATTGATTTTATTTCTTATTTCTTTACCATAGTCATCCATCCCACCTGGGGTGGCTTTGAGAGGCCAACACAGAAGTTACAACCAAACAAAATCACTGTGTAAAATAAACATCTACGTGTAATCTTCATGTGGGGACTAAAATCATCCCAGTTACAGTCCAAAGTTTGGAAATGAATTAATCAAAAACCAATTAACTTTCTGGCCCAAGTGCCAGGGGGAACAATCACGTCTTTAATGCCTCAAAATAAGTTAACGTGGTTGGGGTTATCTGGATTTCCATGTGGATGTGGTTCCACAGGATAGGATTGTTACCATTTCGCTACTGGAATTTAACCCAGTCCTATTTTACAAAGTCAATTTTCCCTTTTGTGGATGTGTTTCAACAAGCTTACAAACCCAGCCAGTTTGGTGTACAGGTAGTCCTTGACGTACGACTGGTCACTTAGTGACTATTCAAAGCTAAAAATGGACCTCCCCAAGGCTATTTACTACCCAGATTTGAGGTTCTGACAGTCATGGTCACATGATCACATTTTGGCAACTGGCCCACCTTTACAGCCATTTGCCACGGTAAGTCATGTGACCATGAGTAAGTCATGTGCCCATGATTTACTGTTTTTATGCTGGAAATCAGCATTTACCTCATTTCTAGCAAAAAAAACACCTCCTATTGCAGACAGTGGATTCACTTAACAGCCATGCATTCACTTTACAATTGCCACGTTCACTTAACGGCCACAGTTACCTTGTGATTTGCTTAATGATCACCACAACTTATATCCGTAATTCTGTGCTCCATTACAGTCATAAGTTGAGGACTATCTGAGATGGTTAAGGCATCAGGCTAGAAACTGGGTGACTCTGAGTTCTAGTTCTGCCTTAGGCACAAAGGCAGCTAGGTGACTTTCTGCCACTTTCAGCCATAGAAAGAAGACAATGGCAAATCACTTCTAAAAATTTGCCAAGAAAACTTCAAGGATTTGTCCAGGCAATCACCAGGAATCAATAGTGACTTGAAGGCACCCGCTCCCCTCCCCTAAAAAAACCCCAAGTAAGAGAATAAACCTGTCTGTCAGGGTTGTCTGCAAGGGAGTTGTTGAAAGAAAAATCTTCATCAGGGTCCAGTCCAAGCTGGGAATAAACAAAATGGAGACTGCTTTAGAAAGAAGGTTGCAGTTTATTGAAGAGGAGAGCCAGACAGAAAAATGGCTCTGGGAAAGCTGACCACAAGTAGTACGGAGTGTGGGTTTTTATACCTTCTTGAGCTTTTGTTTGGAGTTGTTCCTGTGGCATGAACTTTGACCTGAGTCTGAGTGTGCCTTTCTGGTATTCTGATGGTGGTGGGTTAATCCTATTATGTCCCAAAAGTCATATCCTGCTTCCCTGGGGGTGTGGCTGATGCCTATGTCCTGTATTGGATTTTTTGGTGTGAGGGATTGTTGATTCTAGGGATGTTTGTCTTTCTAATCCCATCAGCTCCAAACTTCCAGGTGCCAGTCTTTCTGAAGGATTACGATATCTGCATTTCTACAGAGCTGGTTTCTGCATGGGAGAGGGAGACTTGGGGCTATTAAGAAAACCAGCATTTTCTGCCTTTTTAAGATCCTTTGAGGAAATATAATATTCTGCCTTTTAAATATTTGCTTCTCGGGGGGGGGGGCTGACTTCCCACAGAGTCAAAACAAAAGTCAAAATAATGGCCACAAGCATGCAATCAAAGTTTTGCCCATTTTTTATAGGAAGCAAATCATAGTTTCAAATCTCAAATATTTGGCTTTTACATGAGTGCCATCTAGTGGCAGCATCTAAATGTGCAGCTCCCAATCTTCTCACCCTCTGTTTGTTTAAAAAAACATTTGCACCAGGCAGTCCTCGACTTACGACCATAATTGAGTCCAAAATTTCTATTGTGAAGTGAGACAGTTTAGTGAATTTTGCCCCATTTTATGACCTTTTTGGCCACAGTTGTTAAGTGAATCACTGTCGTTCAGTTGGTAACAGGGCTGTGAATCTGCCTTCCCATTGACTTTGCTTGTCAGAAGGTCACAAAAGGAGATCACGTGACCCCGGGACACTGCGGCCATCATAAATATGAGTAGGTTGCCAAGTATCCGAATTTTGATCATGTGACCATGGGGATGCTGCAACATCGCAAGTGTGGAAAAGGGCCATAGGTCACTTTTTCAGTGCTGTTGTCACTTTGAACGGTCACTAAATGAACTGTTGTAAGTTGAGGACTAACTGTATTGTCTAATGAAATGCAACAAGACAGAATGAAATGAAATGCAGAAGAAAAACAAAGCAACTACTAGATAAAGCCACCATGGTGGTGCAGTGGTTAGAATACAGTATTGCAGACAAACTCTGCCCACTGCCAAGAGTTCAATCCTGACCAGCTCAAGGTTGACTCAGCCTTCCATCCTTCCGAGGTCGCTAAAATGAGGATCCAGATTGTTGGGGGCAAGAGGCTGACTCTGTAAAACCACTTAGAGAGGGCCGCAAAGCACGATCAAGTGGTATATAAATCTAAGTCAGGGGTAGGCCACCTTGGCTCTTTTATGACTCATGGACTTCAACTTCCAGAATTCCTGAGCCAGCCATGGTGAGGGGAAAGGGGGAGGTTTCCAAGCTGAGCCATGCTGGCTCAGGAATTCTGGGAGTTGAAGTCCACGAGTCATAAAAGAGCCAAGTTTGCCTACCCCTGTTCTAAGTGCTCTTGCTACCGGAAAAAGAAATCACTACTGTGCTAAGTGTGAATAAAAAAGGATTTATTTCTTCTGATCCTCAGGTGGAAGTGGTCTTCTGGCTGCTTTCCATGTTGGCCACCCGAGACAAGGAAGACATGTCGCGCACACTGCTGGCCATGTCCAGTTCCCAGGAAAGCTGCCTGGCCATGCGCAAGTCGGGATGCCTCCCTCTCCTCATCCAGATTCTCCATGACTCAGATCGCGAACTCAGCGCGCCTGACAGCCCTGGAGCTGCAGGGAAGGATTGTCGCATGCGGGCCAACGCTGCCCTCCACAACATCATCTTCTCTCAGCCCGATGAAGGACAGGCCAAGAAGGAGATGCGGGTGCTACACGTGCTGGAACAGATCCGCTCCTACTCGGAGACCTGCTGGGATTGGCTCAGGATACACAAGGAAGGGGCCAAGATCCCCGAGGGGGGAGCAGGTAGAGGGATGGGCGAACACGCTTGTGCATGCAAGTCCATTTGTGTAAGCTTCACATGAGGAACTATCTCCTCTACCCCTGCTCCCCCGCCACCGCTGGTCCGCAAAGCTGGAAAGGCAACTTTCAACATGTGAACTTCAGCTCCCAGAATTCCAGAGTCAGCCATGCTGTGGAATTCTGGGAGTTGAACTCCACATGTCTGAAAGTAGTCAAGTTTGAGAAATACTACTTTACACGCTCTCTACTGCTTATGAAGACTGTCCAGAGCAGTCCATAGCTCACCTGCTGTGACTCATCCACAATCTTCTTAGAGATGCCCCTCCCAGCCCAGTTTTTATAGCAGCCAGAGCTCTATTTTTTTTTTTTTTTTTTTGGAGACTCTCAACCAACCTGAAAAATGTAAATACTTTGCCGGTCAAAATAATTTCCGCATGAGAGTTGCTTTGATTTTTAGTCTGTTGTTTTGCTTCAGTGTTTTTAATGGATATTGCCCTGAGCTATTTTGGAAGGGCGGTAGAGAAAGGAAATGAACTGAATAAATAACTGCCACACTCTCCCTTTATTGGCACAACAATGCAATGATTACATGATTAGACCAAGAGACAGAAACTGACCTGAGATTACGCAATGGCAGATACTCAGTTCTGTTGACTTTAAAAGTATTTCTTTAAGTGGAATATTTCTGTGCCAGCTTGTTAGATTTGCTAAGCGGCTTGCTAAAGGACATTTGAATAGCATTTATTCAAACCTCTCCTGATGAGAAACCAACCATTTAAAAGAGAGCCTTACCAACATTTTTTAAAGTTTTATTGTTTTCCCAGATGGCTGTATTTTGCACTGCAGCTTTAATGAGCTCATTTCAAAATTACTGGTTTCAAAGCAAGCATAATGTTTCCCTTCATGTAGGAGAGTTTATTAATATTTCACAAGAGTCTCTCTATAATTCTCATTTGTAGCTATCATCTCTCTGCTCAGTCTTCCCTTTGCATTCTTTAAACATTTTAATTCCTTTCCTCTTCATAAGCCTTTCTAGCCCGCTGATCCAGCCAGCAACTTTTTGAGCTTGTGCCAAGCTCTTAAAATCCTACTTAAAGTGGGATTAATCATTTGGGATATAAACCACCAGGGATGTAACTCCATTGAATTGCATCAAAAGTCAATACAATTAATGTTTTGGGTTTCTGTTCTATTCAGCCCATTCCACTCTCTTCTTTGCAGCTCCTGTTCCGATTGAGCCCCAGATCTGCCAAGCTACCTGCGCCATCATGAAGCTCTCGTTTGATGAAGAATATCGCCGTGCCATGAATGAGCTGGGTAAGTTATCTGTGGGATAAGATAGATAACCTTTATTGTCATTTTTTTTTTACCGTGGGCACAACAGCACACATCAAAAATGAAATTTAGTTGCCCGCTCTCGAAGTGAAACGCATACATGACACACACCTAAACATACAATATACAACATATGTATAGACTCACACCCCTACATATACATAACCAATAAATATTAAACACTGTCCATCTTGAATATATAATGGAAGGAGGAAGCTTGAGACTTCACAAGGTTAATGCTGTATGGAATGAAACTATGTCTGAATCTGGATGTTCTGCTACGGATACCACGGAGCCTTCTCCCAGAAGTTAACAAGGAAAACAGGTCGTGAAGAGGATGTGTCGTGTCCCAGATAATCTTACGGACCCTGCTCAAGCAGCGCTTCTGTGCTATGTCCTGGATGGGAGGGAGGGAGCTGCCAATGATCTTTTCGGCCATTCTCACCACTCTCTGCACCGCCTTCCTGTCTGAAGCAGGGATGCTTCCAAACCAGACTGTGATGCTGTATGACAGGATGCTCTCCATCGTCCCCCTGTAGAAAGTGGTCAGGACGGGGGAAGAAAGATGTGCTTTGCTCATGCGACGCAGAAAATGCAGGCGCTGCTGTGCCTGCTTCACCAGTGTTTCGCTGTTGAGCGACCAAGCCAGCCTACCCGTTAGCTGCACACCCAGGAATTTGATGCTGGTAACCATCTCCACAGGTGAATCATTAATGCACAGAGAATTGTGGCTGTGCCTGCCTTTTCTGAAATCAACAATGATTTCTTTGGTTTTTCCAGTATTTAAAACTAGGCTGTTTTCCTTACACCAGTTCACCAACCCTTCAACCTCCTTGCGGTAAGCTTCCACCTTGTCATCCTGAATAAGACCCACTACTGTTGTATCATCTGCAAACTTCACAATATGATTGGTGGCAAACCTAGCACAACAATCATGGGTCAACAGGGTGAACAGCAGTGTAACCTGCCATCTCAGAAAAGTAGCAATAGCAAAAGCACTTTTTACAGTCCTCTCTAAGCGGTTTACAGTGTCAGCATCTTGCCCTCAACAATCTGGGTCCTCATTTTACTGAGCTCGGAAGGATGGAAGGTTGAGTCAACCTTGAGATAGTCAGAATCGAACTCCTGGCAGTGAGCAGAGGCTGCCTGCAATACAGGTAGTCCTCGTCTTACAACCACAATTGAGCCCAAAATTTCTGTTGCTAAGTGAGACAGTTGTTAAGCGAATTTTGCCCCCTTTTACAACTTTTCTTGACATAGTTGTTAAGCAAATCACTGCAGTTGCTAACTTAGTAACAAGGTTGTTAAGTGAAACTGGCTTCCCCACTGACTTTGCTTGTACATAAGGGGATCAACATGACCCCAGGACACTGCAACCGTCATAAATATGAGTCAGTTGCCAGGCATCTGAGTTTTGATTACGTGACCATGGGGATGCTGCAATAGTCGCAGATGTGAGAAATGGTCTTAAAGTCACTTTTTTCAGTGTCGTCGTAACTTCAAACGGTCACTAAATGAACTGTTGCAAGTCGAGAACTACCTGTACTGCATTCTAACTGCTGTGCCAGCACGGTTCCTATCTTAAGTAAATCCAAAGACTTTGCAAGTCCAATGGCTTAAGCTTGACCACTTAAAGGCATTGCCAGTAGCAGGACCAACAAAATGGCACTTGCTTCCAAGCAAGAAGGCATTGAGGGGTCCAGGTATAGAACCCCACAACCCTTTATTTTGGTATTCAGATGTTCTTATTCCAAGGATGATGGTAATAATAATAATAATAATAATAATAATAATAATAGCATCTAGTTGAAAACAATCTCTTTCCACCTGAGCAGAAAGGAAACCGCCCCAATAGCAGAGGAACAAAAGATCAACTCCTAATAGACAAAATGATCTTGGAAAACTGCAAGAGAAGGAAGACCAACCTGAATGTGGCATGGATTGACTACAAAAAGGCATTTGACTCTCTGCCACATGATTGGATAATAAAGTGCCTAGAAATAACAGGAGTCAGTAGAAACATCAGAAAATTTGTGCAAAGATCGATGGCACAATGGAAGACACAGTTGCAGATCAATGGTGAGAGCTGGGAGAGGTTAATATCAAGAGAGGAATATTTCAAGGAGATTCATTATCACCATTACTATTTGTTATTGCACTGTTTCCTCTGTCAACAATACTGAATAACTCAGGACATGGCTATCAAACATCAAAAACATCTGCCAGACTATCCCACCTCCTTTATATGGATGATCTGAAGCTGTATGGAAAAACATCATCTGAAATAGAATCGCTGCTCAACACTGTCCGTATATATAGCCAAGATATTGTAATGGAGTTTGGCTTGGACAAATGTGCCACACTTACTATCAAACAAGGAAAAATAGTGAAAACTGAAGGAATCAAGATGCCCCACGAAAATAACATTAAGAGTCTGGATGAGGAAGAGTACTACAAATACTTGGGTATCCTTCAAGCTGACAACATCAAGCACACTGAAGTCAAGAAAAAGATTAGAGGTGAATACATCAAGAGAGTGAAGAAGATCTTAAAGTCCAAACTCAATGGAGGAAATACCATAAAGGCAATCAACACCTGGGCAATCCCAGTCATTAGGTACACAGCTGGAATAGTGGACTGGACTCAAGCAGAACTAAAAGCAATGGATAGGCAGACCAGAAAAATAATGACAATGAATCATGCCCTTCATCCACGCAGTGACATTGATAGACTTTATCTACCAAGGCAAATAGGTGGGCGTGGAATGCTACAAGTACATCAGATGGTTGAAGAAGAAAAAATGGCTTTGGAAGAATATCTGAAGAACAATGATGAAGATGCACTGAAATTAGTATATCAGGAAGGCTTACTAACTACTGGAGAGACCAAACTGGCCTACAAGAAAGACCAAATGAAGAACAGAATAGAGGCATGGGAAGACAAAGCACTACATGGCCAATACATGAAAAAAATAGCTGGGAAAGCAGATAATAATAAAACCTGGCAATGGCTAAGAGCAGGAAAATTGAAGAAAGAGACCGAGGGACTAATTCTGGCTGCACAAGACCAAGCCTTAAGGACAAATGCATACAAAGTCAAAATTGAGAAGACAGCAACAGACAGTAAGTGCCGCCTATGCAAAGAAGCTGAAGAAACAGTGGACCACTTGGTAAGCTGTTGCAAGAAGATTGCACAGACTGATTACAAGCAGCGGCATGACAAAGTAGCAACAATGGTGCATTGGAAGATCTGCAAAAAATATCATTTGCCTGTAAGCAAAAACTGGTGGGATCATAAAATAGAGAAAGTCATAGAAAATGATAAAATTAAACTGCTCTGGGACTTCAGAATTCAAACAGACAAGCACCTGCAACATAACACCCCAGACTTAACAATTGTCGATAAGAAAGACAAAAAAGTCTGGATAGTGGATGTGGCAGTGCCTGGAGATAGCAGAATAGAAGAGAAAGAACTGGAGAAGATAACAAAATACAAAGACCTACAAATAGAAATAGAAAGACTGTGGCAAAAGCAAGCAAGGGTAGTACCAATAGTCATAGGCTCCTTGGGTGCAATCCCAAAACAACTGGAGCACCACTTGAACACCATTGGCATTGACAAATTCGCTATTAGTCAATTGCAAAAGGCGGCCTTATTAGGAACTGCTTCCATCCTGCGACGATATTTGTAATACCATCAAACATCCACATCTGCCTATCCCAGGTCCTGGGTAAGGACTCAATAGGTAGACAAAATGCCAAATCCAGTCTGAACATCTGGCTGACTGTGCGATGATCGATAACAACAACAACAACAACAGAATAGACGAGAAAGAACTGGAGAAGATAACAAAATACAAAGACCTACAAATAGAAATAGAAAGACTGTGGCAAAAGCAAACAAGGGTAGCACCAATAGTAATAGGCTCCTTGGGTGCAATCCCAAAACAACTGGAGCACCACTTGAACACTATTGGCATTGACAAATTCGCTATTAGTCAATTGCAAAAGGCGGCCTTACTAGGAACTACTTCCATCCTGCGACAATATCTGTAATACCATCAAACATCCACATCTGCCTATCCCAGGTCCTGGGTAAGGACTCGATAGGTAGAGAAAATGCCAAATCCAGTCTGAACATCTGGCTGACTATGCAATGATCCAAAATAATAATAATATGGTTGAAGAAGAAAAATGGCTTTGGAAGAATATCTGAAGAACAATGATGAAGATGCACTGAAATTAGTATATCAGGAAGGCTTACTGACTACTGGAGAGACCAAACTGGCCTACAAGAAAGACCAAATGAAGAACACAATAGAGGCATGGGAAGACAAAGCACTACATGGCCAATACATGAAAAAAATAGCTGGGAAAGCAGATAATAATAAAACCTGGCAATGGCTAAGAGCAGGAAAATTGAAGAAAGAGACCGAGGGACTAATTCTGGCTGCACAAGACCAAGCCTTAAGGACAAATGCATACAAAGTCAAAATTGAGAAGACAGCAACAGACAGTAAGTGCCGCCTATGCAAAGAAGCTGAAGAAACAGTGGACCACTTGGTAAGCTGTTGCAAGAAGATTGCACAGACTGACTACAAGCAGCGGCATGACAAAGTAGCAACAATGGTGCATTGGAAGATCTGCAAAAAATATCATTTGCCTGTAAGCAAAAACTGGTGGGATCATAAAATAGAGAAAGTCATAGAAAATGATAAAATTAAACTGCTCTGGGACTTCAGAATTCAAACAGACAAGCACCTGCAACATCACACCCCGGACTTAACAATTGTCGATTAGAAAGACAAAAAAGTCTGGATAGTGGACGTGGCAGTACCTGGAGACAGCAGAATAGAAGAGAAAGAACTGGAGAAGATAACAAAATACAAAGACCTACAAATAGAAATAGAAAGACTGTGGCAAAAGCAAGCAAGGGTAGTACCAATAGTCATAGGCTCCTTGGGTGCAATCCCAAAACAACTGGAGCACCACTTGAACACCATTGGCATTGACAAATTCGCTATTAGTCAATTGCAAAAGGCAGCCTTACTAGGAACTGCTTCCATCCTGCGACGATATCTGTAATACCATCAAACATCCACATCTGCCTATCCCAGGTCCTGGGTAAGGACTCGATAGGTAGACAAAATGCCAAATCCAGTCTGAACATCTGGCTGACTGTGCGATGATCCATAATAATAATAATAATAAAGTTGGAAGGGACCTTGGAGGTCATCTATCCAACGCCCTGCTCAGGCAGAAAACCCGATACCATTTCAGACAAATGGCTGTCCAGTCTCTTCTTAAAAATATCTTCATAGCTACTTTAATATCTCCTCCAAAACATGCAGTGAGTTGATGGACACATACAGATAGTATTTGACTTAAAATCTTAATTGAGCTCAGAATTACAGTCTTAAGTTGTGCCAGTTGTTAAGCAGGCCATCATGTGACCAGCCCGATTTTATGACATTTTTTCACAGCTGCTGTTAAGCAAACCCATTGTCTGCAATGGGCATTTTTTTTTTTTTTTTTGCTGGAAATCAGAAGTAAACAACATTTCTGCCCCCCCCCAAAAAATCCCTGTAAATTGTGGTCATATATGGTGGGATGCTGCAAACGGCCATAAATGCTGTACATGTAACCTTTTCGAATCTGCCGTAACTTCAAACGGTTGTTAAGCAACCAATCCTAGGTCAAGAACTGCCTGTAGAAGTGGTTCGCCATTGCCATAATCTTCCAGGCTAGACTTTTTATCCCTTAATAAATCTGACTTAAATAGATTTGATGTTCTTTAGGTTTCCAAAATCTGTGAGAATTGGCTACAAGTCCCTATTTTTGAGAGACTATGACTACTTTAACAATAGCAGCAGAGCACCTTTTGGGAGGTTGAGGTCACAAAATGGTTGCCACTGGAGAAGGGATTGGGGTTTTCAAAATGGCTGCCACAGAGAGCCACCCGGCCTAAACCACGCATTGTCAGAAGTCTTCCCACAATTGAGAGCCGTTGTGGGAGAGTGGTTTTGGCCTGGCTTTAGGCATGAAGTCAGTTGGGTGACTTTGGATCAGCCACAGTCTCCCTGCCCTAGAAAGAAGGCAAGGACACGCCACTTCCAAAAATGATGCCAAGGAAACAGGGGATTGCCCATTTAGTCCTCAGGAATCAAGATTGACTTGAAAAAAGTCCTCGACATACAGCCATTCATTTAGTGATCGTTCAAAGTTATAAGGACACTGGAAGAAATAACTTATGACCAGTCCTCATGCTTACAACCATTGTAGCATTCTCATTGTCACATGATCAAAATTTGGGCACTCGGCAATCAGCATGTATTTATGATGTTTGTAGCATTCCAGAGTTGTGCGATCCCCATTTGCAATTGTTGAAGGAAAAGTCTTCATCATGGTTCAGTCCAAGCTGGGGATAAACAACATGGTGACTGCTTTACAAAGAAGGTTGCAGTTTATTGAAGAGGACAGCCAGACAGAAAGATGGCTCTGGAAGAAAAGAGAAGGAAGAGCACATGTTGGGAGTGGGTTTTTATACCCTCTGGGGCTCTTGAGGTTGTTTCCTGTTCCTGTTTCAGGCTTTGTATTTCCCGTGTTATGTATTTTGATCTGAGTCTGGGTGTGCCCTTCTGGTATTCTGATGGTGGTGGGTTAATCCTATTTGTTCCAAGGGTCATATCCTGCTTCCTTGTGCTGTGGCTGATGACTCTTAGATTTTTGGTATTGATTCTAAGGATCTTTCTTCCTAATCCCAGTTTCCTGATTCCAGTCTTTCTGACAAGATTATCTGCATTTCTACAGAGCTGGTTTCTGCTTGGGGGAGGGAAACTTGGGACTATCAAGAAAAAGTGGGCATGCTTTTCTGCCTCTTTAAGATCCTTTGAGGAAATATATTTTTCTGCCCTTTTAATATTTCCTTCTCTGGGGGGCTGACTTCCCATATGATCTTCCCAGCTGGCTTCCAACAAGGAAAGTCAATGGGAGAAGCCACATTCACTTAACAACCATGTGATTCACTTAAGGACAGTGATTTGCTTAACAATTGTGGTAAAAAAATTGTAAAATCGGGCACAACCCACTTAACAACTGTCTTGCTTAGTACAGGTAGTCCTCCACTTACAACAATTAATTTAGTGATCGTTCAAAGTTACAACTGCACTGAAAAAAGCGACTTATGACTATTTTTCACACTTACAACCCTTGCAGCATCCCCATGGCCATGTGATCAAAACTCAGATGCTTGGCAGTTGACTCATATTTATGACGGTTGCCATGTCCTGGGGTCAGGTGATCATCTTTTGTGACTTTCTGACAAGCAAAGTCAATGGGGAAGCCAGATTCACTTAACAACCATGTTACTAACTTAAGACCTGCAGTGATTCACTTAACAACCGTGGCAAGAAAAGTTATAAAATGGGACAAAACTCACCTAATAAATGTCTTACTCAGCAACAGAAATTTTAGGCTTAATTGTGGTCCTAAGTCGAGGACTACCTGTAATGGAAATTTTGGTCCCAATTGTGGTTATAAGTCAAGGACTACCTATAAAGTTATTTATTTTCCATAGTATTAAATTTCTAAGTCCTTTTTCTTTGCATTAAACCTGCTAAATGCAACTGGGTGAATCTTAACAGAATAAGAGAATAACAGGTTTGGAAGGGACCTTGGAGGTCTTCTAGTCCAACCCCCTGCTCAGGCAGGAAACCCTATACCATTTCAGACAAATGTTTGCCCAATCTCTTCTTAAAAATCTCCAGTGGAGGCAAACTGTTCCACTGATTAATTGTTCTCACTGTCAAGAAATGTCTCCTTAGTTCTAGCTTGCTTCTCTCCTTCATTAGTTTCAAGGAGACTCCCAGTGTTGGAGCATTCACAACTTCTGGAGGCAAGTTGTTCCACTGATCTTGCACCGTTGGTTGTGCACTCCTGTTGGGGGCTCCATGCTCATAGTTGGTCCTGTTTTTCTCTTCTCCGTTTCCCTTCCCAGGTGGACTCCAGGCCATTGCTGAGCTGCTGCAAGTGGACTACGAGATGCACAACATGACCAATGACCCCCTCAATCTGGCACTCAGGCGCTACACAGGCATGGCCTTGACCAACCTCACCTTCGGGGATGTGGTCAACAAGGTGAGATGGGACCCAAAGTAAAAAACCTGAATCCGTTGATACAAGGAAGAGAACCCACACAGCCAGTCAGCATTCTAGGCTACAGCAGACAAACCTATTAGAAGACGACTCCCTAACAAAATTTTTTGAAATAAATGCATCCCACCCACCTCCCTGCCATTTCACAATTTAACTTGTACCCCACCCTCACTTGTCTGGTTTGAGATCCCGGTGAACAATGCCGTAATTGTGAAGGTACTCAAGGGCAAGGACTGTCTCAGCAAAATACATCCAGGCCATGTCCACAGACAAAGGTCCCATGTTCTTCAGCAGTCCCCACCTAAAGAGAAGCAATGTCAGAGACTCCATTTTTTTTGCCTGAGTTGTAAAATGTCAATTCATCCAATATTTACCTATATAATAGATTTTTACCCAGATTTTTCCATACAGTAGCCAGCTTCAGGGAGAACTGTTATTTTCCCATAGAGGGTTATTTTGTTATAGATAGTTCTCAACTTACCACCATTTGTCTGTGACCGTTCAGAGTTAAAACAGCACTGAAAAAAAATGAATGATGACCATTTTCATACTTATGACCGTTGCAGCATCCCCATGGTCAGGGCAACTGCTCTGTCCCAGGGTCATGTGATCACCATTTGTAACCTTCCCAGCCAGCTTTCAACAAGCAAAGTCAGCGTGAGAAGCCACTTAGTGACTGAATGATTCACTTAACAACTGTGACAAGAGAGGTCGTAAAATGGGGCAAAGCTCAGTTAACAATGCTTCACAATGGAAATTTTGAGCAGTGCTCAACTTTATGAGTGATGTATTTGCTTTATGACCATGGCATAAAGATCATAAAATCGGTCACATGGGCACCCCGATCTACAACTATCGTAACTTACAGCAGAAATTCTGAGCCCCATTGTGGCCATAAGTTGAGGACTATCTGTAGTTTTAATTCTGTAACTTCTTCAGAGGAACATAAAAGCAATCCTAAATAAAACATTTATTCCTAATTGCTATTTCTTACTCTTTTCTTGCTGCTTAGGCAATGCTATGTTCACGGCAAAGGTGCATGCAAGCTATCGTGGACCAATTAGCATCTGACAGTGAGGAACTGCACCAGGTACCGTAGACACTAGGGGACCATGGATGATCACCAATCTACACCCTACCTGCCCTTCTCTAGCAGGTCCAGCCCCAGAGGTTTCCTTCTCTGAGCATGTAAAGAGGGCACTTTAAATAATGTCCGAAGCTGCTTTACATGACCTCAGATTCTCTATCTGGCCCAAAATAGCTGGTGAAGGTAACTTTCACTCTGAAACACTTCTTGCTTGGAAAAATGAATGTTATTTATTAGATTTAAAGCTCAGCTTTTATTTAGGAGATCAAAAACGTGCTAACTCTTTTTTTCACACAACCATAATGTTAGTTAGGATGAAAGCGAGGAATTGGTATAATTCTAATCTAGTGTTTTTTTCAACCTTGGTAACTTTAAGAGGTGTGGACTTCAATTCCCAGAAGTCACCAGCCAGCCATGCAGCCATTTTATGGCCCCCAGGCTACATCTGGCCCTTTGGCTGTCTCTGTCCAGCACAAGTGGATTACTTTTTGTGTGTTTGTCTATGGCAGTGGTTCTTAACCTTTTTAATGCCGCGGCCCCCAACCAGTCGTAAATCGAGGACTACTCAACCGGTCGTAAGTCGAGGACTGCTCAACTGGTGCAGCACCGTTTGCAGAATGGGACTTTTGGCGGGCTCAGCAGGGCAGAGACAGCCTGGACAATTCCTATTGGCTTTTGAAAGCCAATAGAATTAGACTCTATTCAAGAGAGTCTATTCTATTGGCTTTCAAAAGCCAATAGAATAAAAGGGAGTAGCACAGCTAAGGAAAGGGGGGGGGGAAATGGCGGACTGCGTTGTTTGTCGACCCCCGTGAAATGGTCGTTCGACCCCAAATGGGGTCCCGACCCACAGGTTGAGAACCACTGGTCTATGGAGATTCTCAATCATCCAGCTCATGATTGTCCCAAAGGTGCTTTTTTGAGAGGCAACTGAATTTTGTTTTTCCTTTCTTGTATGAGAAGCGAAACGTCTTCAAAATAAAACAAAAATAGTCCAGTTGTCTCTTGAAAAAGCACCTTTGGGACGTATTTGCATGCATGCATATCTACATACCTTCACAGCCCTATTGGTTCGGTCCTCCACAATAGTCCTAGTTTCTCATGTGGCCACTTAGGAAAAATAATTGCCTAGCCCTTTCTTAGGTGGTATCCAGCATCCTACGCAACCTCTCATGGCGAGCCGATATGAACAGCAAGAAAGTCTTACGAGAAGTGGGCAGTGTCTCAGCGCTGATGCAGTGCGCCTTACGGGCCAGCAAGGTAAGACGGAAGAGGTAGAATTGACAGCCAACTGTGCTAAAGTATGGGCACCACGATAGTTGCACAAAATGGGCAATAGCCCTCTTGGCCACAGCTCCTACCAGCTCGTCCAGCAGGAGCAACAAGCCTAGGTGGACCCCAACCCATCAAGAGTCGAAACTGGGTCTGTCTTGGAATGAGTAGGCTTCCGAATTAAAAACCTTATCTCTGTTTTATTGCCTACACCAGGATATCTATCTCTGTCTCCATCTCCATCTCCATCCATCCATCCATCCATCCATCCATCCATCCATCCATCTATCTGTTGTGTCCTGAGCCTGCAAATTCAGGCTCGGGACGTTGCAGTGGTCCCGGGCTTTGCAGAAGCTGCCCAGGACCAGACTGAGTGGTGCTGGCTTGCGCGCATGCACAAGGTGGGAAAAACGCCTGGGTTTCTGTTGCCATTATGTCCAGGGATCTGGGCGTATAAAAGGAGGCCTGCGTGCCTTTGATCGTTGTTGGAGTTTTGGCTTAAACTAAAATAAAGAGTGTTCCTGGAAAGATGTGTCTTCATCATTCGCCATTATTGTGAGGACTTAAAACTATCTATCTATCTATCTCAATCATATGGCACATTCACATTGCATTTCAGTAAAAAAGGAACACAGGTAAAATACAAAACATAAAATATACCACATGTAATCTTAACAGGAAGATTACAAACTTTTATCTAAGTTGCAAATGTAATTTGTTTTACTTCATTTGTCACAGCCAAGAATTCAGCGAAAATTTCCATTATAGGCTCTGTTTTGACACACAGTCACTATGTTTTGGATGCTTTGTCTTTTGGCTCCAGTCACAATTCAGTGATGGTATTTTGCCCCACTTATAGAGAGTATCTGCGCATCTACCCTGGCCAGAACGAATTCAGTTCAATGTTGTCCATATCGCATGGGGCTGGAAAAATCCAGGTGGTTTTTCCAAGATGCAAGGCAAACTTGGACATTGTGGGGGGCAATTTTCTATCCAGTGTCAAAATCATCTTTTATAACTGCTTTAGCTGTAGAGATGTCTGGATGTCTGGATATCAACCTGTTTCACTCCAAGCAGGCTACATTGCTCAGTGTTAGCAGTTGGGAATTATCGATAATCTTCAAATGTTCTTGAAGGAGAACTTAATTTCATCTTTTTTCCTACACTAGGAATCCACCCTGAAGAGCGTCCTGAGTGCCTTGTGGAACCTCTCAGCTCACAGCACTGAGAATAAAACTGCCATCTGCATGGTGGAAGGAGCGCTTGGCTTCCTAGTGAGCACACTCACCTACAAGTGCCAGAGTAACTCGCTTGCCATCATTGAAAGTGGAGGTGGGATCCTAAGGAATGTCTCCAGCCTGATTGCCACTAGAGAAGATTACCGGTTAGTAATCCCCGTTTTCCTCCTTGTTCCAGTAACTAACCTTTGCACCAAGAAACATCTTCCTTCACCCATCAGCACAGTGGTATCTTGGCACTCGGCTGCTTTGAAACAGAACAAATTTGGTACTCAATGCATTCTGATGTGAAAATTTTGCCCTGGTGCTGATCGTTTGTTTGGTCCTCAACGCACAAGCTAGAACTTATCGGTGTCGGCTGCCTTGTGACTCACTACATTATTCCTTATGGGAAAAAATTGTTTAATATTCATCTTTTTTGGTACTCATCATGCCTCCTGGAACCATTTAATGATGAGTATTGAGGTACTGCTATACATCAGTAGAGTCAAGACCAGCCCCTGCAGTCCTCAATCTCATGTCTGACCCCTTCCCAAGGTATCTAGTCCAGGGGTCTTCAAACTTGGCCCTTTGATGACTTGTGGACTTCAACTCCCAGAATTCCTCAACCAGGCACGCTGGTTGAGGAATTCTGGGAGTTGAAGTCCACAAGTCATAAAAGGGGCCAAGTTTGAAGACCCCTGCTCTAGTCTGTCAGAAAATGAGTGGTATTATTGTCATTGAATCTCCTGGAAATCCTTATAAGGGTAGTCCTTAATTTACAACTATAATTCCATCACTAAGCAATGCAGTCATTAAGTGAGTCACATTCAGTTTTGCTTCTTTTTTTTTTTTGCTGTGGTTGTCAAGGGAATCCAGCGTCCCTTATTGATTTTGCTTGCCGGGGCTTCCTCAAAAGGTCGCAAATGACAACCACAGGACCCCAGGATGCCGCCTCAGTTGTAAATATATGCCAGTTGTCAAGCATCCGAATTTGGATCACTTGACCGTGGGGACACTGCTGTTGTAATTTTGTTTGCTAAATGAATGGCTGTAAGGAACGGTTGCTAGAATTGGGTATGTCTAGTTTAACGAAGAGAAGGACGAGGGGGGACATGATAGCAGTATTCCAATATCTCAGGGGCTGCCATAAAGAAGAGGGAATCAAGCTATTTTCCAAAGCACCTGAAGGCAGGACAAGAAGCAACGGTGGAAACTAATCAAGGAGAGAAGCAACCTAGAACTAAGGAGAAACTTCCTGACAGTGAGAACAATTAATCAGTGGAACAACCTGCCTCCAGAAGCAGTAAATGCTCCAACACTGGAAGTTTTTAAGAAGAGACTGGACAGCCATTTGTCCGAAATGGTGTAGGGTTTCCTGCCTGAGCAGGGGGTTGGACTAGATGACCTCCAAGGTCCCTTCCAACTTTACTACTACTATTATTATTATTATAAGTCATGGACTACCTGTATCCTTTTTCCAATCGTGGTCCATTTTTTCCTTTTGGATAGCTACAAATTGGATATGAAAGCTAAAACCCCACTTGTGTTATTGTTCCCAGCAATTGATATTCATCAGACTATCCCATGAATTCAGAAATCCTAAAACAGCTCCTGCCCCCTCCCCTTAAATTATAGGATCTCATTCCTTCCTTGTCCTTTCCCTTGCCAGTCTGACCCTTGTGTTTTCCTCCAGGATCTGTGCTGCTTTTATCCTAACCCCAGTGTCAATCTGCTCTTTCCTAGGCAAATTCTGAGGGATCACAACTGCCTTCAAACTCTCCTCCAGCACCTCAAATCACACAGTCTGACCATCGTCAGCAATGCATGTGGCACTCTGTGGAACCTCTCTGCCCGTAGCCCCAAAGACCAAGAGCTGCTATGGGACCTGGGGGCGGTCAGCATGCTCCGAAATCTCGTCCACTCTAAGCACAAGATGATCGCCATGGGCAGCACCGCAGCCCTCCGGAACCTCCTTGCCAATCGGCCACTTAAGTATAAAGATGCCATGGTCATCTCACCAGGTTCTTGTATGCCCTCCCTGTATATGCGGAAACAGAAGGCCCTGGAGGCTGAACTGGATGCTCAGCACTTGGCTGAAACTTTTGACACCATGGAGAAGCAGACAATGAAGAAGCAGAGCGTCACCAAGAAACCAATGCGTCACATGGATAGCTTGGCCAAAGACTACGCTTCTGATTCAGGTTGTTTTGATGACGATGAAGTGCCCAATGTCTCCAGCAGTACAGAGCCAGGAAATGCATCAGTTCTCTCCATGTTCCTAAATTCATCCTTCCTCCAAAGTCAAACTTTGCCAAGAACGGTTTCCCAAAGAAGAGGCCCAGAACCGGAGAAAGATGAAAGTGGGAAGTCCACAGAGGCCAAGAAGGTCTCCCCGCTGCTCATGCCCCAGGACAATAACGTCTCCGTAGTGGCTGAGAAATTGGCAAAGATCACTACAACTGTGGCCAAGATAGATAAGTTGGTGGAAGATATAACCACTCTCCATACCTCCTCTGATGACAGCTTCAGCCTCAGCTCTGAAGACCACTGCCTTGACTGGCATTATGGTCTGGATGAAGTCCATGAGGCCCGTGCCCAGTCTTGCTCTCCATGTCGCCTCTCGGACACCAGTGGAATTATCAAGCGTGACGGTCTGAACCGGGCTCACACCCTCTTGAGATTGAAAAATGCTTATACAAGCTTGTCCAATGACAGCCTCAACAGCGGAAGTACCAGTGATGGCTACTGCCCTAAGGAACACATGAGACCATGTACTAGAACAACCTTCTTGGACTTTAAAGACGAACTACACCGGTATCAGAAACGGCCCAGTCGTCTTGATTTGAAGAACATCTTGATGAATAGGCCAGAAAAGATGGAACTGCCTGAGAAGAAACATCAAGAATCCAGTGTGGTAGTTGAGAAACCAGAACTTCTTGAAAAAGCAAAAGTAACAAGGCTTCCACCCAATCCTGATGTTGCTGAGAAAGAATCTGAATGTAAGAAGAAAGAGGGAGGGAGAGAGCTAGATCCTGATCCCAAAGTCCACACAATTAAACTCTCCCCATCCTATCAACATGTGCCCCTCATAGAGATCAATGCCATAGCATCTGGGACTATGGGAGTCTTGGGAACCAGCTCTTACTATCCCAGCTTATCCATGAAAACCACAGATAATCTTAACAAGGTTCCAGAGAAACTGACTGCAGCAGAACCAGCGAAACAAGAACGGCTGCAGAAATACTCGGTGGAAGACATGCCAATCTCCTTCTCCCGGTGCGGTTCCCTGTCTTCTATTTCTTCTGCTGACAATGTCCTAGATGGACAGAGCCATAGTGAGAATGAGATGGACACGGACTCTTCTCTAGAGATCATCGAGGTAGAAGAAGTGGAAGAAGCTCAAAAGGACAATCAAGAAGAGAAGGCAAAGCAAGATGTGGAACCCCTCACCTCATCTTCACAACCCATTGCTATCCCCTTCCCTAAAAAAGAGAAAATGTTCCTAAGAGGAGTGTCACCTTCTCGCCATGAGGACTTGACCCCTTCCAGCTCATCTGAAAATTACATCCAGGAGACCCCTTTGGTGATGAGTCGCTGCAGTTCAGTCAGTTCGCTGGGCAGTTTTGAGAGCCCGTCCATTGCGAGCTCTATCCAAAGTGAACCCTGCAGCGAGATGATTAGTGGTACGGTCAGTCCTAGTGAGCTACCGGATAGTCCTGGGCAAACCATGCCTCCAAGCCGCAGCAAAACACCTCTGTTTGAACTAAGCCAGCCAGAGAAGGAGGCCAGCCAGTTCAACATCCAGTGGGAAAACAATGTTAAGAAATTTATGGATATCACGGATTTTAAGGAGCGTTTCCAGATGCCTCAGGACCTTGACTCCATGGTCTACTTCACGGCGGAGAAACCCAATGAAAACTTTTCATGTGCCTCCAGCTTGAGCGCATTGCCCCTCCACGAGCATTATGTCCAGAAGGATGTTGAGTTGAAACTTATCCCGCCATTCCCGGAAAGGAGTGGGTTGAACTTCATGACACATGAGAAGAGAGATGATGAAAGGGTCATTGAGGGCCAAAGGAAACTGGAGCGCCTTGAGTTGACTTCCGATGAGGATATTGAAATTCTGAGAGAGTGCATCAATTCGGCTATGCCATCCCGTTTCCGGAAGATCAGAACATCTCTTGTCTCGGGCCTTCCAGGCCAAGTCCTAAATCCTCAGTCAAAGAAGTCAATGCAGGTTCCAGTCTATATGTTGGTTCCTGCCAATTCCCACTTGGGTATCCCCAAGCACAGATGGGCTACGGTCACCAGACCCAACAAGGACTACCTGGGCAATGAGGATTCCTTCACTGACTCAGCAGAAGGAACCCCCGTCAACTTCTCCAGTGCTGCTTCTTTGAGTGATGAGACCCTTCAATACCCTATGAAAGATGAGGGAGATTCCCGGCATTGCTCTGGGAAAAAAGAGGAAGTAACGGGGGCTCCGATGGGGGTGCTCAAGAGGGAGATCTGCCAACTTGAACAAAGCAGCTGCCGGATTGGAAGAATCACCTCCAGCCATTCAACACCAACCAAAATGGCCTCCTCCTCTAAGCACAAAACTGGATCGAATCACACCAGCCCACTCCGTGCAACCCGGGCCCAATCAGCTGAGTCCAGGAGAGGAAACATTCCCCTCAGAAACCTAGACTTGACTGTCTTGAGGCAAGGTAGCTCACGGGCAAGTTCTGAGGGCAACCGTTCCAAGAAGAAGGAGGAATCTCGGGAGAACAGCAGCCATGACAGTGATGGAGCCTTCCCATCCTTCTGCCACACCACGCCAACCGAAGAGGCTGTCTACTGCTTCTATGAGAATGACTCCGATGACTTAGTGGAGTTAGACATGAAGAACTCACCCAAGAGAAAGCCCAACCTGGCCAGCAAAGGTCAAAAGAAAGAATGCTGGGCTATGAAAGAACTTGAGCTAAGTTCTAGTCAGCAGCTTCATGCTAAAAACAAGATGGTGTCCCATCTCCGGAGCAACCTAATTGCAGATGAGACTCCACCGTGTTACTCTCTCAGCTCCTCCCTAAGTTCCCTGAGTGATCTCGAACTCTATGGGACTGGGCAAAAGATGCAGATGTCCAAGATCAGAGCTAACCGCCAACTGACCTTGAACCATCGGCATGGGATAAAAGCAGCCGTGTCCAAAGGGAGGGACAGCTCTGCCAGTTCCCTCAGTTACAATTCAGATAATGATCTCCTGCAGAAGGGCATCGGTTTGAGTGGGCCCAAGAGGAGACGCCATTCAGCCAAAAGGAGGAATGCTGAGAAGGAGCAGAAGGGTCTCAAGGCCAAGGAATGGAAGCCTGAGGGGTTTCCTGATGAAATATCTTCTGAAAGAGGCTCAGATCTGGACAGCATTGAGTGGAAAGCCATCCAGGAAGGAGCAAACTCCATTGTCACTTGGCTGCACCAAGCTGCTTCTTCCTTTGGCAAGGAGACGTCCTCAGAATCTGACTCCATTTTGTCTTTTATGTCTGGCCTTTCGGCAAGCTCTGCTTTACCGCTGAGTTTGGACAGAAGAGACAAGACCCGGGGCAGGAAAGATCCCACCGGTGGTGCGGAGAAGAAAAACCTCCCCAAATCTTTCCAAGATGGCAAGAATCTGAATGAAACAAGAGGTGCTGGTAGCAGGAATAAAATGGAGAAAAACGTAGGACAGCAGAAACCAATGAGCAACCTACCCGTAGTTTTCCGAGGCAGGACGGTGATCTACATGCCTGAGGCAGCCAAGGAATCCCCAGTGCAGAGCTCCAGATCCACCCCAAAGAAAACAGTAGGGGCCACTAAGCAGGAAATTCCTGAGAAAACTCTGAATCTCAACCAACCGAGATCAAGGAGTCTCCACCGGCCTGGGAAGATCTCAGAAATGGTGGAATTGATGTTGCCCAAAAGAAGCGCAACCCCACCTGCCAGGATGAACAGAGCACCGTCATCCGGATCCTCCAGGACATCCACGCCATCCCAACCCAACCAGAAGAAGCTCACATCACCATCGCAGCAACCCAACAGACAGACGCCATCTGGAAAGACCAGTGGAAGCACCACACCTGTTGGTCCAGCCCCCAAACCAGTCCAGAAATCCCCCGTGTCTAAGCAACACAAGACCCAGAAATCACCTGTCCGCATCCCTTTTATGCAGAAGCCCGTTAAGAAGACTCTTCCGGTGAGGAACACCATGCCTACACTGGAGGAACGAGGAGGAAACAGCAGCAGTGAACTAAGGCCTAAGGTCAACGGGAAAGGCATTCTCCAGGCCAACCGCCTTAATTTGATGCGCATGTCCTCAGCGAGATCCATCAGCAGTGAATCCCATCAGTCGGGCTTCCTACGGCAGCTGACATTCATCAAGGAGTCGCCCAGTCTTCGCATGAGGCAACGTTCTGAGGTCTCATCTTCCCAGCCTTTGTCCTCAATCTCTCAGGGTGCCTCACCACGAAGAGGCCGGCTTGGCCTGCCTACCGTTTTCCTCTGCTCGTCCAGATGTGATGATCTCAAAGTGGACAAGCCCACTGGGTCAAGCCAACGTCCTGTCATCTCCAGGGTGCCTCTTCCCAGCCAGAGTCCCTCTGCAGGGGGCCCCCCAAGGCCGCCACGCAGGACAAACTCAGAAAGCCCCTCCCGACTTCCCATCAAAAACAACATTGTTCCTCCAGAGCCTTTCAAGCGTTACTCCTCGTCTCCTCAAATCAACATCATCAAGAGGACTGCTAGCCCCACTTCTACTCCATCGGACGGCCCTGAGCCATTAAGCGGGAGAAAGAAGAATGAGGAGGTCTCAAAACTACCAGTGATTCCTTCTGCAGAGAAAGGAACCGAAAATCAACAGCAGCAGCGGCAGCAGCAGCAACAGCCACAGCTACTACAGCAACAGCCATCACAGCAGCAGCAGCCACTGCAGCCACAGCCGCCACAGCTACCGCAGCTGCAGCCACCGCAGCAGCAGGCGATGGTGAAAGGGACCTGGAAGAGGATCCGTGATGAGGATATACCCCATATTCTGAAAAGCACCCTACCTTCTACAGCATTGCCCCTGGTTAGCGCTTGGAAGGAAGAAGAGAGCGATCAGACGCCTGGAGTTCTCCACCCGAAGACGAGTGACGCGGTTGTGCAGACAGAAGACTTTGTCACCACAAAGACTAATTCCAGCACTTCTCCTACTCTGGAGGTGCAGAAAGTCATCAAGATCCCACCTGATGGAGATGGCTTTGCTCTAGCGAAGGCCACCCCCGCGTCCATCTCCTTTACTCACGAAGGGTCAGTCAGCTCTCTTGGGACTTTCCCTTCCAGCAGGCACAGCTCCCCAAGCCGGGCTGCTCGGGTGACCCCGTTTAATTACACCCCCAGCCCAATGGTGGAGCCCACAGTCAAAGAGAAGCAGGTGGAGAAAACACAAGTTTGACCACCCTCCAGCTTGGTCTGACAAACTCCTGGGATCTTCTTAGCTAGCCCCTAATATTTAAAAACCAGACTTGGATGTATTCATTTTTTAAGAAGCTATATTTGTCATTTTACCCTAACCATCTCCGTTCTTAACAAACAAGGAAGATCGGATGAGTGTTATACTGTACATGCAAGATTAGAGGCATCACTTCTTGTGAGAGATATAAAAGACACAAAGGAACAAAATGTACAGGTAATCCTCAACTTACAACCACAGTTGGGACCAAATTTCTGTTGCTAAGCAAAGCGGTTGTTAAGTGAATCACACTCGATTATATGACCTTTTTTGCCACGTTTAAACAAATCACTGAAGTTGTTAAGCGAAACATGTGATCTTTAAGTAAGTCTGGCTTCCCTCATTGACTTTGCTTGTCAGAAGCCAGATGGGAAGGTTACAAATAATGATCACATCTCTCTCTCTCTCTTTTTCACATACACACAGACACAATCAGAGACATTGCAATCATCATAAATACATGCTAGTTGCCAAGCACTCAACTTCTAAGTGTCTGTGGGGATGCTGCAACAGTTGTTAAGTACAAGGACTGATTGTACGTCACTTTTTTCAGTGCCATTGTAACTTTGAATGATCACTAAACAAACGGTTGTAAGTCGAGAACTACCTGTATTTTTCTTTTTCTTTCTTTCTTTTTTCTCTTTTTCTTTCTTCCTTTCTTTCTCCCTCCTTCTCCCTCCCTTCCTTCCTTCCCTTTTTCTTCCTTTCCTTTCTTTCTCCCTCCCTCCCTCCCTCCCTCTTTCTTTCTTTCTTTCTTAATGATCTTTTGGAATGAGTGGAAAAAATGAGACACCCCCCCAAGGAACTTTTTCTATTGCAGGGGGGATTACAAACTGACCTTCCGAATTATTTGAGTGGGGTCAACTGCTATACAGGAAACTTTCCCCTGCATTCTTGTGCAGAGAAGTGGGAATGTGAAGCAAAATTATTTCAGCCACCAAGCCCAGGACCCCAGCGCTGAGCTTCTTGTAAAAATTTGCAACGGGGCTTCTGGATATCTCATGGGTGAAGATGCTTCATGACTGCAGTCCCACCCAGCTCCAACAAGTCTATTATCTGACTTTTGAAAACTCAACTCAACTTTGAACTGGCATTCCGTTTTGGAAATTGGGGGCTTTACGAAAGACCTGCCTGAAGCTGACTGAAGGGGCAGGTTGAATACAGCAGATATGCAAAATTGACCTACTTCATCTGAGGACAGTTTAGTCCAGGGGTCTGGGAGCTGAAGTCCACAAGTCTTAAAGTTGTCAAGGTTGCAGACCCCTGGTTTAGTCCAACCTTCAAAATCACCCACCCTTTACGTTGCACAGGATCAGAGGCACTCCTTGACTTAATGACCCCAACTGAGCCCAAAATTTCTGCCGCTAAGCGAGACAGTGATTGAGTTTTGCCCCATTTTCACGACCTTTTCTTGCCAGTCGTTAAATGGATCACTGCGGCGTGGTTAAGTTAATAACTCAGTTGTTAAATGAATCTTAGTTCCCCACTGACTTTGCTTGTCAGAAGCTCGCAAAAGGGGGATCCGTAGGACTTCAGGACACTGCAACCGTCGTACGTGCAAGTCGGTGGCCAAGCAGCTGAATCCGGATCACGTGACCGGGGGGATGCTGCAATGGTTGTAACTGTGAAAAACAGTCAATCCGTCACTTTTTTTCAGTGCTGTTGTAACTCTGAATGATCCCTTAGCAAACTTTCGTAAGTCGAGGAACACCTGTAACGAAGAGCACGAAACGGCATTCTGAAGGGGTCCACGGCCTTCCCCCCCCCCCAAACAGGCCTCCATCTCATGTTGAGAATATTTCTAGATCGTCTTCTGCCAAATCTGCTCCCCCTTTGCTCCGTCTTTGGATCCAGCCACGCAATGAAGAATCACATTGCCAAGGATAAACCCTGGATTATCCAACGGCTGGGCCAAGTTCACACATCCAAAGCGTGCTCAGGATTCCCCTCCGTAACTGCCAGTTTCTCTCCATGTGGAACTCTTCTCCAAGCCTATGAAGAAAATCCTCTTTGCATCAGAGGAGAACTTGACTGCAACCATTCATTAAAGTAATAAATCACGCTGCTGCTTCGTGGAGGGCAGGGGGCAAGAGAAAGAGAGACAGCAAACCTCAAAACTGGGCTGCATGCTTTAGATTGCAATTTGGATGTGCAGCTATAGGAAGTGAGTCCTCTTGGGAACGCAAAGAGGCCGACTTCCGAGCAGACATGTCGAGAATTGCACTATTAGTCTTAATATGTGGGCATCAGTACCCCCCCAATTAAAATCAAGATATCCTCAGCTATTTATTGGGGGTGGGAGGGGGGAGGAGGGAGGGAAGGAAGGAGAGGCATTTATGCATCTGAGAGGGAATATTTGGTGGGAGAAATTTATACATCATGAAAAAGAAAAGGAAAAAAAATGAACAATAGACCAAGAAGGAGAATGGCACCCTTGAGCTGTGAATACATGATCTGTATACTTTGCTGTGCCTCTAATTACAGCCGTTCCTTAATCTGCTAATGACTAATCTGTCTTTCTGTGAATGCTGGGCGTTTTTACGGAGGGGGGAGACACAAACGGCATCTTAGCCACTTTGCATTCTATAGGCAAAATCGGATTGGTTGTTCGGGCAGCTCGGGAGAGTCTTCAAGGAGATTTGGGGCGGTGGAAATGTTTGAAAGAGATAAAGAGAGAGAAAATAAAAATTTGCAACTTGTGGCAGATATGTTTCTGTTGCACATCAGTGTTTTTCAGCCTTGGCCACTTCAAGACAGGTGGACTTCAACTCCCAGAATTCCCCAGCCAGCATGGCTGGCTGGGGAATTCTGGGAACTGAAGTCCACCCATCCTAAACTACCCACGGTTGAGAAATTCTGTTTCGCATATTAAAGAGCACTTTCTCTTGAGCTCAATTTCTCATGTTTAAGATAATTTCAGGAATCCTGTTAAAACTCTGGCAAATTAGTTTGTGTTTCCATAAGGTCCTTGTGCTGAGGTAAAGCAGCTGGGATTAAATTTGAGTCAATCCTTAGATGACATAAAGAGGAAATTGAAGCAGGTGCATGAGATCAAGCCCCTAAGCCAGGGGTACGCAACCTTGGCTCTTTTATGACTCGTGGACTTCAACTCCCAGAATTCCTGAGCCAGCCATGCTGAGGGGAAAGGGAGAGGTTTCCAAGCTGAGCCATGCTGGCTCACGAATTCTGGGAGTTGAAGTCCACAAGTCATAAAAGAGCCAAGGTTGCCTACCCCTGCCCTAAACCATGGCATACAGCATTCCGATCCAACTGGGAGGTTCACAAGCAAAGCATGAAGAACAAGTACTTTGATTATGGTTTCCAGAGATTTAGTGATTAATAGCCCTTGTGGAATAACCTCATCCTCTTTGGAAACTCTCCAAGGTACGTCTGTTCAGTCTCTTCACAAGTTGCTTTTAAGTACAGGATCCCGATAACTAGGTTTATATTGCAAGATTCTTATTCTAGCATAGGATCATCTCTTTCAGTTACTTGAGAACAATATAATCAATCAAATATACCCTATATTGCTAGGAATAAACAAGAGGATTCTTGAGGCACTTTCAGATTGTAAGATTCTTCTGGGCCTGAATTTACGTATAGCCTTTGGGTCTGATTTGGTGAGAAATTCCCTCTTTGTTCAAGTTGGTTTGCTCCTAAACCTGCAATCCTGTGGACCAGAGTTTCTCAGCCACCGCAGCTTTAAGATCTTTGGACTTCAATTTCCAGAATTCCCCCCAAGCCTGTGATGGTGCTGGTTTACCTGCATAAAGATTAGCAGAGGTGAAATCCCTACCAGTAAAGAAAGTCAAAACAATCGAGATGGTGGCCATAACTGTACATTAAAATTCCTTTTTTGGTGTGTGTGTGTTGCATGTGCTTAAAAAGAGATGGCTTCTACTGCACTGTTGGGCTGCTACTGTATTATATTTACTAATTCTTTTTAAAAAACAGAGGGGAAAAAATCTCTGTCTTCCAGTTTCACTAAGCTGGGAGCCAGAATGTTTCATGAAGGGAAATGTCCCACAATTTCCTCATTTCTGGATCAATAAAACCAGGGCTTTTTTTCTAAAAAAAAAAAAAAAAGGTGCCGGAATTCACACATGTCATACAACCCACCTTGCCTACCCTACAAAGTTCCATCCAAAAAAGGTGCCGGAACTCAACGGATGGAAACTAACCAAGGAGAGAAGCAACCTAGAACTAAGAAGAAACTTTCTGACAGTTAGAACAATTAACCAGTGGAACAACCTGCCTCCAGAAGCGGTGAATGCTCCAACACTGGAAGTTTTTAAGAAGAGACTGGACAGCCATTTGTCTGAAATGGTAGGGTTTCCTGCCTGAACAGGGGGTTGGACTAGATGACCTCCAAGGTCCCTTCCAACTATTATTATCATTCACCACACAGTCAGCCAGATGTTCAGACTGGATTTGGCATTTTGTCTACCTATCGAGTCCTTACCCAGGACCTGGGATAGGCAGATGTGGATGTTTGATGGTATTACAGATATCGTCGCAGGATGGAAGCAGTTCCTAATAAGGCCGCCTTTTGCAATTGACTAATAGCGAATTTGTCAATGCCAATGGTGTTCAAGTGGTGCTCCAGTTGTTTTGGGATTGCACCCAAGGAGCCTATGACTATTGGTACTACCCTTGCTTGCTTTTGCCACAGTCTTTCTATTTCTATTTGTAGGTCTTTGTATTTTGTTATCTTCTCCAGTTCTTTCTCTTCTATTCTGCTGTCTCCAGGCACTGCCACGTCCACTATCCAGACTTTTTTGTCTTTCTTATCGACAATTGTTAAGTCTGGGGTGTTATGTTGCAGGTGCTTGTCTGTTTGAATTCTGAAGTCCCAGAGCAGTTTAATTTTATCATTTTCTATGACTTTCTCTATTTTATGATCCCACCAGTTTTTGCTTACAGGCAAATGATATTTTTTGCAGATCTTCCAATGCACCATTGTTGCTACTTTGTCATGCCGCTGCTTGTAATCAGTCTGTGCAATCTTCTTGCAACAGCTTACCAAGTGGTCCACTGTTTCTTCAGCTTCTTTGCATAGGCGGCACTTACTGTCTGTTGCTGTCTTCTCAATTTTGACTTTGTATGCATTTGTCCTTAAGGCTTGGTCTTGTGCAGCCAGAATTAGTCCCTCGGTCTCTTTCTTCAATTTTCCTGCTCTTAGCCATTGCCAGGTTTTATTATTATCTGCTTTCCCAGCTATTTTTTTCATGTATTGGCCATGTAGTGCTTTGTCTTCCCATGCCTCTATTCTGTTCTTCATTTGGTCTTTCTTGTAGGCCAGTTTGGTCTCTCCAGTAGTTAGTAAGCCTTCCTGATATACTAATTTCAGTGCATCTTCATCATTGTTCTTCAGATATTCTTCCAAAGCCATTTTTTCTTCTTCAACCATCTGATGTACTTGTAGCATTCCACGCCCACCTATTTGCCTTGG